GGAGTTTCTGTCAGAAATCATTTGAGGAGATGAAGTCAGAATCAAAGATTAAAGGTCTGTTGAGAGCAGCACAGATCCTGTATTGTGTAAACTCAATGATGGAAGGAAACGGGCTGGAAGCTGTTCTCAGAGAGGGGCTGAAAGAACGTTTAGTTCTCCCGAGTGCTAATTCCTGGGGACGCTTAGGAACCTGCCATCCCTTAGAAAAGGGGAAAAAGAGAATTCCTAATCTCTAGCTGCCAAGTGGGGATATTAGAACCACTGCAGCACAAAATGTGATTTGCGTGCGACGTAATAAAATTCCAGCTATATTAAGAAGCCAAAATGGAGATATAATGGAGAACGGATAGCAGTATGTGCTAAGTCTTGGAAAGTAGCAACTTGCTTCCTGGCTCTGTGTTTGGCAGCACAGGATTTTGAGTGTCAGGAGGTTTTAGCTGCCATAGCAACATCCCCTTCCCAAGAGGGCTGATGAGAGCAAGAAGTATTTCTAGTTAATACCTCCTCAGCTCATGCAATTAAATTGCCCAGGTTACCAGAGCACGTAGGATTTAGAACTGCTCTTGATTTCAAATGATTGTGCTTGGGACTAGTCCCAGTCTTTACCGTAACATGAACGTGCAAATGGATGTGGCTTTTTCAGGTGCCGCAGCCTCATGATGGGAGAAATACAGGACTGGAATGAAGAGGAAGCCTGTAGACTTTCCCTTTCATTTTGCCCAAGAACGTGACTGATTCTCCAAAGCAGTTCTGTCCTGTGCTTTAACAGACCTTTTCCATCTGGTTTTGCCTCATGTTGGCAAGGACTTTGCCCTGAGGCCCCTGGAGAACAGGGAATATTGGGAAATGCCGGTGCATCTAGGAAAGTTTAGAGGATGACTTGTTCCCTCTACCTCTTCCCTCTTCCCGCAAACCCATTTTGTGAGGGTTCTTTTGTTTCCTGATTCTCTTTTTCTTCTGGTCCACTCTTTCATTTCCTGGGAATGAGCAATTAAGCAGATGGGGATTATGGGGTTTTTTTTCTCTCTTAACAAAGCTTTGTCACGTGCCCAATCCAACCTGCAGCAAGTTGCAAAGGAAAATATCCCTGGGAAGGCTTTAGCTACTCTTTGGGGTTTCAAAGCTCAGCACCCGGAGCCTTTGCTTTGCCTGCGTGCCCGGTGCCCATCCATCTATAGGAGGGGAGAAAGGAAGGGAAAAAATGACGAGGTGGAGGAGGAGGATGAGAGGGTTGAGGCGAAACAGGAGACAGCGTTTCCCCCCACCCCTGGGTTTCCTTCCTTCCCTACCTCCAGTACAAGATGTGCCTTCCCTAGATTGGGTAGTTTCTCGGAGGTGGTTTTCCCCCTCAAGCCTTTCCCGCGGCGAGGTCGGGACGGCGGCGTGTGCACAAATGCACGGGTGTCAGCGGCAGAGGGAGCTTACCCACGCAAAGTGGTAGGCAACATCCCTGGGGATTGCTGCTGCCAGGTAAGAGCTGGTTTTTATCCTTCATTTTCTCCAGGGCCCTTTTAGAACCCTTAGCTGGGTTCCTCTGCTGCACTTTTCTCTGCACGGGTCCCATTTCCCCCCGTCTAGCGAACGCCACTCTGGGTCTGCAGGCTGACACATGCTAAAGGCACCTCAAAGGAGGCTTACTGCAAAGCAGAGCAGCTGCCCATGAGGGGAAGGACTTTTCTCCGTGCCTGGAACTCACACAGGTTTAGGGGCACTGAGAGAAATACACATCTGCCTCCCAGCTTGCTGCATGTACACTCAGAGACCTTCTCCAACGAGCCCTTGCAGCAGAGCCCATCATTCCCACTGCGCTGGAGCTGCAGCGCAGCCGAGGCTTCCATGGCTCTTGCTTTAAACCCATCCAAGAGATCACTGCTAATGCTGGGAGGATTGGTATATAGACTGAGCTAACAGAATTAGACTGTTTCAGTTGCGTACCTGCTCTCCCAAAAATATTGGATTGGAGTGGAACAGCCGTTATCAAGAAAAGTATCTTCCTAAACGAGTAAACCTTACCCAGAGCTTTCTTCAATGGCTTGTTCTCCTAATTCCTAGTAAAAGTTACCAAACGGATTTAGAGCAACTAAACCCATGGGCTCCATTGAATATTTTCAGGGATCTTTGAAGATTTCAAAATGCTTTATCATCTTCAGATGATGCTACTTGTAATTAGGAGGCACTGTTCAGATAGATAGTGCATGACTGCAAGAAGAGAAATTACAGTGCCTACAGCTTCACGTCTTACTGTTTATGCCTTGGTGTGCTTGGTTTTATTCTCATCACTCTCTATCATTATTTGGTTGTGTAAGAGCTGAATATCTCTACACGTAACTGTTACACAGATATTATTTTCAAACTTTTAATGTGTAGGAAGAATGTATTAATTCCATCTGATTACAATATTTCAATGAGGTGTTTGCCATCCATAGATTTAGCTTAAGAAATGTTTGTATGTGTATGTAAGTGTCCAGGTGTAGCCACTTCTGTAGTCATGTGTGAGTTAAGAGAAGAATTTGTGACTGTCCATTTCAACGGTGTGTGCATGCACATGGGTATATGCACATAGAGATGCACAGTGAAGACTAGATATGGAAGGCTTGAATTTCACACTGTAGCATGGATTGGTTTGAAACATGCAGACTTGGGATTCTTTGCCACTGTCAGGCAAACCGGACCAGTGACCTGATCTCTGTGAAATGGTTTTTTTTTTTTGTCAGTAGTTAGGATTATGTTTCACCAGTGCTCCCACCACTCTGGATGGGAAGAGGTGGCCCTGGCTTCCTGGCTTCACTTTTCATGGTTTATTGGAGAGAAATGATATCCAAGCTATGGTAATAAGCTAAGGCTGCAGTGAGGTCAGTACCAGACCATCCGTAACAGACAGATATCTCCCAGAGCAGAGCTCTCCCAGCATCCAGAGCAGTTGGGAGTAGGTCACGAATATTCCCAGGAGAGATAACTGAATCAGAGATATACGTGGCTTCACAATGGAAAGTGATGGAAAATCTCTGTCCTTCGCAAAGCCGTGCCAGAGAGCAACTCTGTGCACAGCAAAGCCTCTGCCTCTGGTGTGGTTATCAGACCTTCCTGGCATGCCTCCAGTTGGCATCCAAAATCAGATTTTAAATGGTATTATTTTCCATACTGTGTTTACCCTGTAGAATATAAGAACACTGGTTTAAACACTGCTACCCATTCTCTGTGCACCTGAGAACTGCTCCAGCTCGTTGCGGCATGGGTTTATCATACTCTGTCTCCACTTCTCTGTGGCATTGGCGGGGTGGGGGTATCAAAAGTATATGAGGTGTAGGGAAGGAGACTATGCAGTCGGTCTGCTTCTCATTTCCAAGTTGAACGTTGGTTGCTCAGACATAAATACAATGGACCTGGGGGAAGGTAGGGCGGTTTTTCTGTTTTTGTTGCAAGATTATCCTTTTTTTTTTTTTCTTTTTCTTTAATCTTTTATTTTGTAAATTGATGTAGTAACAATATGCTCAATATTTCAAACCTTAAGCTAAAGGCTATATCTCATTATATCTCATATATCTCATTATATCTCATATATCTCATTACAGGTCACCATACTTTATATGAGTGAGTTTCATGTCCCCATGCACAAGTTTGAATGAATTTAGCCTCACTGAGCTCTCAGAGCTCTGTGAGATACATGCTGCCATTCCCCACTGAACAGATTAAGAAGGGGAGCACACAGAGACACCATGGCTTTTGCCAAGATTACAAAAAGTCATCAGCAGTGTAGAAAGAGGTGAAAAGCTTTCTGAAGCATGCACAAGCCATCCCACTTTCATTGTTGCTTAAAGTATCTTTATACTTACTAGTACAAAAACTCATTATAGTCCTCAGCACTGTCATATGAAAATATTTATCTCTTTTTGCTTTGTCCATTACAAAGAGAGGCTAAACAAATATACTTTTGTTAAATTTAATTGATTACATCGATTTTTACTTTCTGGAAACAAAAATACCTATCTCACACACCCTTGGAAACCCACTAATGCATACATATATGTAGATATGCATACATATATATATATATATATTTATGAACACAAACATGTTTGTTACACAAATATATCTTTTATTTAGACAAGGTCTGTGTCTTTATGCATATTCAGAAAAGAATAAGAATTTCACCTAGTCCTCTTTTCAGTCAGCAGTTCTATAGGGGTGCTTAAAAAGGAACACCAAAGCTTATGTAATAAATATTTCCAGATCTCATTTAGAGATTGAAATAAAGAACAAGGTACTGTAGCATGTAAGTAGAGACTTAAGAATTACTGATATTTTTTGTTTTCAAACTTCAGTATGTAGCCTTTCTTTAATTCTTTCTATTTACCTGCAAAGAATCAAATTCACATTTTCTTATAACAAATGCCAAAAACATTGAGTCCTAAAGCCCTATCTATCTATAATAGAAAAGGGAGCTAAACCTCTTTATTCTTGTGTAACTCATTAACTAACATCAGATGATTAGAGCTAGTGTTTCAATATAAAACAATTCAAGTCCCTCATTAGCAGGGCTAGATTTCCTTTGATCTAATTAATGTCCCAGATATATGGGAAACTCAGAGTTCAGCTCTGAGAAGTCTCTGTAGACACAGTCACATCTAGAAACATGAACTTATATACAACCTCTAGAAATGTTCTTTAGCAATAACAAGCCTCATTTAGTCAGCTGATAATGCTTGGTCAAACGTTCAATGAAATCAAGTTGATGGTAGGTAGATTATGAAGATGAAGACTGTTTACTGAACATGATTTAATCTCCATTATGATAGACAACTGGATTGCAAATTTCCATAATTACACATTCAGTGCACCATTCAGATTCTGCAGTAAAGGTTTTTAATTGCTGTTGTAGGGAAAGAAGTAGAGCAGGGTGTTGCTATCACATGATGAGCTTTTCAGGCTGAGCTAATAGGATGTCCTTTTAAAATGTTCTTGATGTTTTCTGGTTTAGAGGCAGAAGATATCATTATGGAGATTTCATCAAAGGAAAATGCTGCATTTTTCTCAAACAACATAATCCTCCCAGTTGACCACTCTTCATTCAAATCTGAATCTTCTTCTTCCAAGGAAAGACAATCATGTTGTGGAGGCATAAAGGTAGAGTAAGAGCTTTCAATATTCTTCCAGACACTTAGAAGGCCTAATTTTTTTGTGGACTAACCCTTTTTCAGTTCTAGTTTTATGTTGTTGAGCGAGCATAATATTATTCAAGATGTTTCTAAGTTGCAGAAAAAGTTCTGCTTCTGTTTGCCTCGTGTGACAACATTCAGACAGGTCCTGTTGATTCAGGATGGTATATTATAAACTCTTCAAATGTTGTCATGGAAGGCTAGTACATCCTCTTTATTTCATTCTTCTTTTTTTTCTGGATTTGTGGATTTATGTGAGTAGCCAGGTTGCATAGTAATCTGGCTTTTTTTTTTTTTTTTAAGATCACAACCTCAGTGGTCTTCTACGTTTTATAAAATAATATCTGTCTTACTGCCTGTGTGTTTCAAATGGTATATTACTTAGGGCTGAACTAGGTCCAAAGGTCCCTTACATTCTTAATCATTCTGTGATTCAGGTAGCATTGTCACATTACTGACCTGAGCAAACTCCACCCAAGAGGACTTTGAAAATGGACTGTGGATGTCTGTGAAAGTTCATGTCTGCATTTCTCTGGCCTTCACAAAGTGCGTTCCCTGGCCCTCACAAAGTCCAGAGGAGGCACCTTGCTTTGAGTCTCCTGCCAGATAGTGCAAGCTCCTACCTGCCTGACAGCGCGAGCATCACGCCAGAAGGAGCAAACCTTCTGGGAAGGATTTTTGGGTACACAGCAGGATGGACAACAGCATGATGCTTTACCTACAATCTCCATCAGTGTTTTACAGATGAGACTCTTGTGTCTCATGTTAACACGAGCTGAGCTGTTCTGAGGGGTGTGGAAACTGATTTGTTGGCTTTGCCCAGTTCTTTTCATCCTACATGTTCCTTTTTTTTCTGTTGGTTTTCCATATTAACCAGAATCCAACAAAACTTTCAGAGACTGATGAAGATATCTATAAAGCCATTGATTTCAGTGGTAATAGAAACGAACTATATAAATTATGGAGAGCAATTAATTAAGATCTTGTTGGATTAACTGATAAATATAACTGGTAAAAATATTTGGATTCCTGAATATTTTCTGTGGTCTTGCTCTGCAAAGGTCAATAATTGGCGTCCTGTTTTGAAATAAAAGATGAGTTGTATTAATTAATTTGCAACATAATAGCGATTCTATCTTTGTTCCCTTGCCTCAACAATAATCAACAATAACAATAATCCAATTCCCTCATTGAATGAAACTTCAGTCAGAGATTAGCCAGTCAGGAATCGGCTTACTAGCTCCAAAAATAGAGCAGCAATAGTATTACAGCACATTTTTTTTCGTGTTCAAAATCTTTGTGGCTTCTGGGAACTAGAACTGACATGATTAACCTTTAAAATACCAAACCAGTGCAGAGACTCAGCAGGTTGGTTTTTCATTAATTTCTAGCCTTCTAAAAGCATAAAAATTGCTTTTATTGACCTAAAAGATGAGGTGAAATAGTTGCGTATGTGCATTCAGTGACAAACCACAAAAGAATATGAAATCATCTGCACCTGTCTGTTACAAATTTAAAGCAGGGGCATTTGTTTTTCCACCACAGTGTATAGTCTCCATCTCCATCCTGGGATACTTTCAGATCAAGAGGAAAAATCAGTGCCAAAGTAAGAGAAGTCTGAAGTTCCAATTTCACTTATATAATTTTCCTGCGGAAGAGCAAACCTGTTTTACCACTGCTGTTTAAAACTTAAGGGCATAAACACATAGTAAATGTAAATCTTTTTACTGGAAAGCTTTTCAGAATCTACACAACGGAAAAAAATATATACTTTCTTTATTTGCCCACAAGCATTTCCAAATAAGATATTGCTTAATAACAGTGCTAAGAACAGAAAAGCGTGTTGACTGTGACACGGATGTTTTTGAACCTTGCCATAGGAACTTGCCTTCAGCAATGATGGCAGTGTTGGTGCCAATGATGTGCCATGTCAAATATGATGTTTTCATTTGCAACCAATTCATTTGTCCCAATGAGCTGGATATGGGGCAGACTGTCCATAGCTCATAATTGCCTAGAGCACATTCCTGAAGGGTAGGACACACGTCTAGACCTCTTTACATACCAAATGTTACCGAGTTTTTTTTTTATTTCTGGTTTCAGTTCTTTGTTTTTGTTTGTTTGCATTAACACCTTTCCCAAAGAGTAGTATATATTCCATCAACACAGCCTGGATTTGAAGACAGGAAGCAGTTTTGCTGTTCCCATTGCAGACTGCGCTGTGTCTGAGTATTTGTGCAGCTAAGAAACACATTAAGGCTGTGTTCATGATAGGAAATAGCTCTGTAGAGGTGAAACAGTGCTAAGAAGCCAGCATTTCATGGCAAGCTGTTACTTCATGCATTTCAGGGTGAGATGTTACTTTATACTAGCTCTGGTCTTGCTCCAGAGACTGAAACCCTACTTTAGGTTAAAGCAACTTAACTGCATTTCTGAAGCACATCTTCCAGTATAATTTCATATGAAAGAACCACAGTCCATGTAGTGTGAACCAAAGTGCGGTGAAGGGGGCAAGAGCAGAAGAGCCAGATCTATCTCCTTGCAGTTTAACAGTCAGTTCTACTCTGAATTTCATGCAGCTGAAGACATTTCAGAACAGACACCTCACTACCACCCCAGTTGTCAGTGGGGACGTTATTCTAGAACAAGACATTAAAATCCATACCCTGATTACCTGTGTGAAAATACATGTTTTAAGATAGGTTCCTACTAGGCAAAATCCTATGTTAAAAAATACCCATTTATTGACACCTCACATGTTTCTGTATTGTTGTTGTTGTAAGATGCCCTTCATTAAAGGCATCAGGAGGTTTGCTGTTTTTCTCTGCCCTTTCTCTGCCCATAGATACCTAGCTTTGGCATCTATGAGAAATTAGCACCTGTACCAGCCACTGGTAAGTTCAGTTTGCATTATCACTTATAGAAGATGAATACATTGGCAATCTAGCTTAGTTCACAAAGCACAGGAGAAATATTGACATGGTTATCTGGGTAAAAAAGAAGTGGGAATGTAAAAAATATTTAAAATAATTAAATAAAACATTCTATATTGCCCAATTATAATCACTGTCACTTATTTTCACAGATATTTCTCAGTGCATTATCTTTTGTTTATTTTGCAAAAGCACTGTCTGGAAGTTACCTAAAAAGTACTATCACACAAATAGAAAGAAGATTTGATATTCCTTCCTCTTTGGTTGGTGTTATTGATGGCAGTTTTGAAATTGGTAAGTGCTGTAGAAACTTGTTTTTGTTTTCAGAAAAGAAAAATATGATTTGTTTTGAATAATGTAACCCTCTGGCTTATTAACACTGAGCAAAATTCCCCTATTAGTTGTCAACAGGACTTAACTGGCTAAGATTGGGCTGCTGACATGAACAATTCAATGTATTTTAAACACTTTATGATAAAGACAGTAGTGTTAGCCAAGACATTTATGTATGGTTCTGGTTGGCCTTGCTTCTAAGAACCTGAAAAGGCAGTAATTCCATTATGAAATACTACTAGCTGCAGCATACACAATTCCCATTTTACTGCCCGAGGATCCTACACAAGGATCATTTCACTCATTCAGGTGACTACATAGTTTGATAAGCTAAGCTGTTGACTAGCCCAACCAGAACTTCACTTAATGAGGTTTAATAATGTGAGTTTCACCTGTATAATGTTAATTCAGCTGCACAGATATTTCTTGCCTTTTGTCAGCAGTCCTCTTCATCCATAAGTGTTTGTCCAGTTCCACCAATGTATCCACATGCTTTGGTAAACAGCAAGGGTACAAATCTCTTAACTAGCATCTCACTCCATTTTCCAGTTCATCCCTCTTACACTAAGCTTTACAACATGATATCACCTCTGGCTATTTCAAATTACTCATTTTTTTTCTCTTGCATGTTCAGTGTACAGTGGTATTCATCAAAATGAAATCTTAAGTATATAAAGCGCTGTTTGATTCCTTTGCTTTCTTACCTGACTATTTCTCTGCTTCTGCTACTATCTGTCATCTGCATGGTCCTCTTTCCTGCCACTTTTCCAAAATCTTAAGATTTTCTTATCAGGAATGGTATTGGGCTCTCCTAAGAATGCCTAGAAATAGGGGAAAAAAACAGCGCCATATGATCAGCCTTCTCTCCTCTGAAATTGCTATGCAATACTACATGCTAGAGATCTTTATTTTTGAACCTAGATTTCTTACCCACGGGTTTTTAATCTCAGTTTTCTTTTTCTACTTTCAAAGGGAATCTCCTAATCATAATTCTTGTAAGCTACTTTGGAGCGAAGCTTCACAGGCCAAGGATAATTGGTGCGGGCTGCTTAATTATGTCAGCTGGAACCTTCCTAATTGCGATGCCCCAGTTCTTCATGGGACGGTAAGTGCCCAGTGATCAAGGTTCTGCAGCCACGCTATCCATACTGTGTGTTAGCTTGTTAAAATGTTTAGGCATTGATGGTGATGGAGCCAGTAGAAATAGGCATATGTTGATGTGGTTAATCGACTTAATATTTATTATGAAAGGACTTTTATTCCTGCAGAAAAGCAAGTAATTTAAGGTATACCCTCCTCTCAGTGGTAATCAGCTTATCAATTTATTAATGATAATGTGATCGTGATCAGCCACTTTTTTGATTTGGTTTAAGCATCATAAAAGCCTCAGTAGAAAGTATGTAGCTCTATGTACCATAGGAAAGTGATTATTAAAATGAGAAATACATGGGTCCAATGGAACCATTATCATACAGTATCACAGTATAAACTGAATTTCATTTACTCCCTGCAAACCATACAGATCTGTCTTTAACAGGGTGCAGATGAAATCTGCATTTCAGAGCAATGGACCTGTCTTCCGTGATAGCAATAGCTTTGTTTATCTTTTTTTCTTATAATTTCTTAAAATGGAGAGTAAAGACAATTTGTTTTTAAACAGATACAGGTATGAAAGATTTCCTTCCATCATCAATTCAACTGATAGCCTCTCCCCATGTCTACAGGAAAAAAATCAAATTCCACACTCGACCTTGGAAAAATCTCAGTCCAAAATAAATGCAGGTAAGAACAATCCCTTTTAAACGCTGTGATAAACACACTAAAATATACCCAAAGGCTCCCAAACTCTACTGTACTGATTTATTAGGATGCAAAAATAATAAATGGCAATCAGACCGATCTTTCCCAGGGAAAAGTCAGATCTTCTGTATAAGAAGGTTTTATTAAGAAAAATGTGAAAACTCTTCTGCCAGTTGCCAAGATGTCCTTTCAGGCTCTTTTTCCTAGCCTTGCTGGCTGCTCCAGAAGCTTCCTGCATCTTTGTGGTTTGCAACAACGCCAGGTAGTCTCCCCTGGGACCTGGAAAAGTCGACATTTTCCTTGTGCTGGGAACTGTATGAGCTAAATGTGATTGGTACTGCTGTCTATCCTCAGTGATTTCCAAATCTTTCCATTAGGAGACCCCAATTGCAAACAGCTTCTCTCTGGGATGTAGCAGCAAATTTACAAAGTGGCCAATATTTAATATCTTTGGCTGAAGCTTCTTATGCTAAACATGCGTCTGCCTCAAGCCAAGCTGATTGGGTAAAAATTTCCACCTTTTCTTTTTCAGTTCAGGGTATACTGCTTGCCTATTTCTGAAGTATTTCACTCACCTTCTTTTAGTCCTATGCATTTAGTAGTAAAATGTTATGAAAAACATGTTGCTGTCTCTACCCTGATGTATCTAGGATGTGAAAAAGAAGCTGGCTCATCCATGTGGATCTATGTTTTACTGGGAAATCTTTTGCGTGGAATAGGTGAAACCCCTATCCAGCCTTTGGGAATTACATACATTGATGATTACGCTGTTGAAGAGAATGCCGCCTTATACATTGGTAAAATAAATAAATTATTTTTTCCTTATGGATTCTTCCCTGGTAGAAAGTGAGTCACTCTGAATAATGGAATGAGTGTTATTGAATTAGCCTACCCTGTCTGTTTTGTTTGCATCATTTCCAATATTAAAGTTTTATTTAACAATCACATAAACTCAAAGGACCAAGTTCCCCTTTAATTATAGCAGTCTAGTTCCATTACCTTAATTTGAGTAAAGAATTTGACCTTAGTTTCCTGCTGTTACCTTAAGCTTCCTAATTCTTCTGGTTGTGAACTGTTGAATCTCTGTGCAGTCAGTTCTCTGGAAAGTGATAAAAACATGTATTTTTTTCAACTCATTAAGATAAAATTTCAGGAAACAGTTAAAACTTTCCCTCTGAATTCCTATAGAATTGTAACAAATTGTTCTGAGATTTGAAAAGTTGAGATCAGTGTTCACTATGTAAAGAGCTCTGCACATTCATCTGAAATATTAAGAGAAAGTCCTGCCCTGTCAGCATGTTTTTAAGCATCTTTTCTTGAAGTGTTTCCAGCCTGGCAAAAAACAGAATCCCTGTGAAAAAGACTTGTTCTTGCCAAATTTTCAGATCAATTCTGAAAACTCAAAATATGTGGAAAGTTTGGCTTAGAGTCTATTGAAATAAATACTGGGTCATAGGTTATTTGAAGTCCATTATAGTCTAAATTACTGAAATGATTTCATTAATTGATATTTGTTTTTCAATTACTTTAGTATAGTCAGCTAAACAGTTCATGGCAATTGCAGAGTGGTGCTATTATTGAGCGTAGGCCATTAACTTCATTCAATATATTTTCTTTAAATGGAAATTCATTCTTTAATTGTATGATAACCAAAACGAACAAACAAACAAGCAAACAGATCTATATAGTGGGCCAAATTTTGGTTTTGGGTTCTTCTTGCAGAAGTACTAATTTGAGTAACTAATGTGTCAGAGAGCAGTGTTTTAAGATTTTCTCACTTGTTATCTATCCTATGTCATGCCTTGTTCTTTGTTGTACAAGAAGAACCAACATTCAATTTCACTTAGAAACCTAACAGCTCCCTGTTTTCTATTACAGGCTGTGTACAGACGCTTGCAATTATAGGCCCAATATTTGGCTTTCTTCTAGGATCCCTGTGTGCCAAACTTTATGTTGACATTGGCTTTGTAGACTTGGGTAAGTCAGAAAAGTCAGGTTTAAAAATTTAGTCAGGCTCAGTATAGTCAAAAATGCTTATTCAAGGTACATATTTTTGGCCAAAACGTGTCTAGCTCTAGTATGTTTCCCAAGGATAAGGAGCTAATAAAGCAGAGATGGCACTTTAGAAGCTAAAATGATACCAGCAATGCAGCATCTGCTCGGAAAAAGCCTAACAGCGAGCACAGCTATAGAGGAAGTAAGAGGCTTGACTCTTCCTCAGTCTGAGCAGATCCTGCATCACAAGAAATCACCCAAGTGGGGAGGCACGAGGGAGACAGCAGCTAGCAGGAGGAGGAGGACACACGGCTCAGGATTCTGAGAAAAAACAAGCATGTGAATTTTGGATTACATTGTCATTGTACAGAAATCCAGTCCTGAAACTAGTACCAGAGCTCCTGATTTCCTTCCTCCTAGGAGAAAAAAAAAAAAAAAAAAAATCTGCCTTAGTATCTGGCTGGATCCACAGCTTTTCTGCAGAGGTCCAGCTGGGAGCAGGTTGTGACCACCTGCAGGATCTCCCTTGGGTTCACCCTCTCCAGCAATGTTCATGTGGCACACGCTGGAACCCCTTGGTCTTAGGGAAAGGCCACTGCTATTCCCAGGGATCAGCAAGCCCTTATCACCTCCCTCCAGTTGTTCTTGACACTAGTAGAGACCCATGGCACAGACACACCTTGGGTGTGGGAGGACTCTCCTGGAAAAAGCCCCTGAAAAAAATCAACTTTGCTATTATCAGCAAACATTTCCTAAATGTATTCCTTTTTTTCTCCTTTTTGACTTTCTCCAGACAGTGTAACGATAACTCACAAGGATGTGCAGTGGGTGGGAGCTTGGTGGCTGGGTTACCTAATAGCCGGTGTGATTAGCGTTCTGGCCAGCATCCCATTCTGGTTCCTGCCCAAGCACCTACCAAAACCCGAAGGCAGAAAGGACTCCAGCTCCTCCTCTGAGCAGTCAAAGTTCATCACTGAGGATAACAAGGAGCGACAGAAATCTTATCAGCAACACGTGAAGTTTGCCGAGCTGGCAAAAGGCAAGTCCCTAGAGTCCATTTTTTCACTGCTGAGTCTCTCTCTCTTCCTCCTCCAACATAACTTTCCAACTAACTAGCTTGCAAAGTTCCAGAAACAATTTCATTTTTCTCTTGTAAGCAGAATTTCTTCAGCCAAGATTTGTAAAATTATGGTAGTAGACTAAAAAGTATCATGAAACCATGCAAAAGTGTTTCCTTTGCCTGTAGTAGGAGTGGAAATCAAACAGTAATAACCTGTGAAAGCATGTGTGCTAAGCTTGTTTTCCTTAAGGCCATCCATTAGTAGAGTGCATATAAAAGCTGACCCAAATAAGACTGGGCACAGAGCATATAGAGTATGCTAGCTAGCTACCTGGATTTCAACACCAGCTCTTTTGACCAAATCTGTTTCCTTGGCTCTGCCTTGCAAAAAGAGTTTTTCCACAGAATTTGAAGATGCACCTCAACATGCTTGTGCTTACCTTCAGCTATGCTGACCACCCTTCAATTCCCAAAAAGCTGAAAGGAACTTTGGCTGTTGAGGTCACAGATAAATCAACTCAGGCCTTTTTTCTTTGTTCTTTTCTTTTCTTTTCTTTTCTTTTCTTTTCTTTTCTTTTCTTTTCTTTTCTTTTCTTTTCTTTTCTTTTCTTTTCTTTTCTTTTCTTTTCTTNTTTTCTTTTCTTTTCTTTTCTTTTCTTTTCTTTTCTTTTCTTTTCTTTTCTTTTCTTTTCTTTTCTTTTCTTTTCTTTTCTTTTCTTTTCTTTTCAATCAAAGGAAGGTATCTAAAACAAGATGTCTCTTCTAGAAAATCAGTGCTTAGCAATTTGTTTCACCATTCCCCATGTGGAAATGCAGATCTTAAGAGCATCATGGGGCTTCATTTATTTCCTATGAAGTACATTGCAGTCATCCTTTGGAAAATGCAATCATATTTAAAATCATTATTCACAGAAGTTATTCTCTCTGACCATGGTGCTCAACTCTGTTACTTGATTTTGCAGATTTCTTGCCATCACTGAAGAACCTTTTTGGAAATCCAGTTTACTTCCTGTATTTGTGTGCAAGTATCATTCAGTTCAATTCTTTAATTGGCATGGTGACATATAAGCCAAAGTATATTGAACAACAGTATGGACAAACATCTTCAAAAACTAATTTTGTTATAGGTAATGCTATATCTGCTTCTTGATACCTTACAAATGGACATCTTAAAAGTAGCACATGCATAGGGAGAAAAACGTTTCTTAGGCTATGCTTATTTCTTCTCCTTCCTTGTATGACTTTAAAGTAGTATCTTGTAGAAAGTAAATTATTTCATTCTAGCTTTTACAACAGTTAGTTCTGATGTTATCTATGCAGGTGTCACTGAAGATTCCACAATTTGATACCTATTCCTAGTTTGCCAGGAATATGAAAAAGAACATATGCACATCTTGAGAGAATAATTGAGAAGAGAATTAATTTTTAAAAACTCTGCATAAATACGTCATCATTTGGCTTCCCATTTATTTCAAAAGAAGGTATATCAATTCCATGAGCGCAAGAGGACTGACCATAAATATTCATATTGCTGAATTGTTAATGACTTCTTTAAAGAAAAGTGATGTTAAATAAAGACAAATCAATGTCATATCAGTGATATCACAGGGGGAGTGAGCCTGGGCTCCTCTCTTCCTGCACCTTCCTGCATGTGGTGATGCTGTAGAGGAAGTCTTTTCTGGGCACACGGTCAGGATGGTGAACTTCACAGCCCAGCTGTTGAAATGGGAGACTTGAATTCAGTTTTCTGAGGTCCAGCGATTCAGTAGCATTACACAGCAAAGAGGTTTACATCTAGGTAATACAGAGCAAGCTCTCTTGGTACAGAGTTTTCAAGACAGCATTAGTAGCACAGCAACAGAGGTGTGTATGTGCAGAAAAACTGCAGTGATCCATTGTGCTATGTTAATTCCTTAAAGACAGAGACTGGAATTTCCTGGCACGAAACTCCAATAAGAAAGTAGTTCAAACTTTCAGCCATAGCTGATGGCCAGGGAAAGCCCAGGAGATAATCCCTGCCTTCAGTACAGTACTTTCCATTATATTCACAGATTTTCTGGAGTTAAGCTTTCAGGTATGTGCAAACTGATTGAGGATTAAGACCCATCTGATTTGACAAGGCTACTGTACTCAACAGCGGGTGTACGATGGCTGGGCTACCAAGCTCTTTGGCTGAGTAGCCATGCCTGCAGTAAGGGGTTTCTCCTTCTTCACTCTCCTAATCTGCCATCTCCTTCTCTTCTCTAAGACACTGAGGGCTCAGTAGAAATAAGAGTATCTATCTTCTTTTCCCTTCCCATTTTTATTTTTAACAATATCTATCTCTTTGATATAAATCAGAATTATCTGAGCAATTTGAAGCATAGTAACAAAACACTAACCTGTAAAAGGTATTTTTTGGTAGTCACAAACCAAGGAATATACAAGAAAGGACACAGTCAGTGCTGTATTTGCATGGCTTTTTTAAATATAAAGTATTTTTCACACGATCAAGTCAGTGTCGAGCAGTAAAGTTAGCTGTAAGAACACAAGCAGTATAGATAAACCATGGCAGTACCTATGAACGGTCAAGCAGGAGGTATTAACTGATGAGGGTATCGCTGCAGATGTCCCTGCTTGAGCAGGTAGGTTGGACCGGGTATCTCTAGAGGTCTCTTTCAACCTTAATCATTTTGTGATTCTGTGATACTGGCAAAACTATTTTATCTTGTTCTATACTCTTTCGCTCAGAACAAGAGAAGGTTTATAGTTTTGACACTGCATGTCTCTTTTCAAAAAAATAATTATTTCATCTAGAGATTCCTAATTATAAATGCAAGTCAAGTATCTCTTGAGAAGACTCAGATCAGTAGTACATGCAGTAATAATTTCAGCAAAGTGCAATATGGAAAAGATGGTGAAGGCTGCTGTAGACACTGGCCTGTGTAGACACTGGCTTGTGTCTACACAGGAAACCTCTGAGCAATCTTGATTTTTATAAAATATTTCCTGAAAAAAAAAAATTTACCTCTGTTTTTACTGGATGGAATAAGGCTATTTTTGACAAAAAAACCATACCTTCTATTATCTCTTTATTCATTGCTTTCCCTCCTTCATAGAGGTGGATACACTTTGACTCAGGTTAAGGGAATCTTTAGAGGCATATTTCCTTGCAAGCAGATCAAATTCCAATATTGCAAACTCATATTTCAAATTAAGTCATTTGAGATCATGTTCTAATATCAGTACATTCCTGAAAAAACATCCTAAATATCATTTCATTTATGAATACATTCATACCTTGGTGCTTGCTTTTGTTTTAGATACTCAGGTCAGTACCACTAGGTGTCAGCAGTAATTAAAAGCTGCAGAATGCATAGTCCTGTGAAAATGCTTTTTTCTTTTTTACTTTTTTTTTTCATAAGCTAGAATTGGATGATATATCTGGGAGAATCATTTTCAGTCTCAATGAAGTCCAGCAAAAGACATGATGCTTGATTGTGCAGGATTTTTCACTGTGGTCTCTCTTTACATCTTTTTTGCATATACTGAACGGGATTGTTTTGGTCTTGATGTCCCTGTCTATCAGTATGGGCATTACTTTGAGCAAAGCCATTCAGGTAAGGAGTAATGGTCACCCAATCATCTCATGTGTTAACTTCACTGCTCTTCCAGTGGATTGCTTGAAGCCTGGAAGAAGAAGAGTGGCCAAGGGGTGTACATACCCCCTTGCTGCTGCAACACTTGCTGCTGCTACAAGGGAGCATTTCAGAAGCCAAAACCAGAAATCTTCCAGTGCTGTCCTCACTGTCCTGTGCATGAAGGCAATGGCATATAGCTAGCTTTCTTCTGGCAGCAGACTTCCCCAGGGGACCATCAGCAGGAACATTCAGGCAAAAGTTCCTGGCTTTTTCAAAACAGAAAAAGCAACCAGTCTCACTCAATATTGTTCAACTTTATAGGCCAAAACTAGATTTTCCTTCTAGGAATGAGTAGGTCAGGCTACTCTTGCCAGCAGAAAAGGGGAGGAGAGAAGACGGCCTGGAAAGCCATAGTGAGACAGCCCCAGAGAGTGGCTCCTGGTGCCATGATATGGGCGAAGGACCCAAATGTCTGTACCAAAACGCTGGAGTGCCAGAGCGTGTGCAGTGGGACTGTGGTCCTCTGGGCTGCCCTCAGAAGCACTATGTTCTAGACAGCAGCCCACTTCTCCACTAGCACTGCTGCAACATACTGTGATTGTTACTACAGAATATTACGACTAATAGAATTTGAACAATCCCTCCAGCAACACACTAACAGCGCAGAAAAGCAATCTCACTGATAATTATGTGTCTGACAAAGAGGAAATGCTCTAGTCATGAAATATTTCTCTAGAAACTGGTTTTCAAAAGCAGGTCTAGCACCATCTTCGAAATCTTCCAAATCTGGACAAATGAAACCCCCAGACTGAAGATATTCATATTTTGCTATTTTGTGTTAACACTGCTGCTGGTTTGTGACAATTTATTGAACTGAAGTTTTCACTAATAGAGATTTTTCTGTTTGATTTTAGGTCTTATCAACATCCCTGCTGTGGCCTTTGGCATATTCTCAGGGGGACTGATCATGAAAAAATTCAGAATCAATGTCTTAGGGGCTGCAAAACTTTCCTTGGGATCATCTTTCTTCGGTTACCTTTTGCTCCTTTCATTATTTGCGATGGGCTGTGAGAACTCAGATGTGGCTGGGCTGACCGTGTCGTATCACGGGTATGTCAGTTAGGAAGCACAAACTTCAGCACAAGTTTATATTTCAAAGCAAACTCCTTCCTCATTGTATCCCACAAGGCATATATTTTTGAACAGAGAATAAGTGACCTAAATATGCTTCTCAGGAATTTAATTCAAAGAAGTGGAAACCATTCCATCTATTCCAGTGGGCATTGTGTCAAAATCCTTTTGTGATTGTCTTCAGCTCTGAGGGCTTTTTGCCACAGGTGCAGATTATTTTTCTGATTACTTTTTAATTATTATTGCCATGGGACCCATCCTTTGAACCTACAAATTCCTGTAAATCTGAGTTGCTCAGTAGGGGGGGGTAATATTCGATTAATTGCTTCTTGCCTCTGTGTGCTGCTGAACAACCCTGTGCAGGTAATAGCTTCTGGACTCCAAACCTAAGGATTAACCACGAGCACAGAGGTAACCTTGAAGCTGGCATTTTTTGATCCTGTTATTCTACAAAGCTCTTTCTACAGAGGGACCTGCCATCTCTGATTGCATTGCAGCCCCAGGATTAGCTCAGGTGTTGACTTCAGCAGGTGCTGACAGACAGTGTGCAGGCATCAGCCCTTAGTTTCAGTGAATCCCATCCTGGTCATGTCCCTATCAGCTTCTCCAGCAATGATTTCCCATGTGTAAAACATCTTAGAAACTGGAGTAATCAAAATTTTTGTCCAGGTTTGCTTTAACTGCATCAAGCTTCCAAAAATTAAAATCACAGAAAATTCAGGAACGGAATTTTCTAACTGTTCTGTGAAATAAGAAAATAAGTACTGTCTCATAGTAGACATATGAAATAGTGAATTATTTTTGATAAAAGAGGAAAAAAAATAACTGTCTTCTGTGCAAAAGAAAAGAGACAATTCCTTAATGGACTAAAAATACAAGGCTAAACTCAGGTGCATCTGACAAAAAGCATAACCCATGATTTGATGATGGTTTCTTTCACTGTTAGAAAACATCATTCCAATTTCTCTTTTTCAACAGGACCAAACAGATAACTCATTATGAGCAAGCTCTGTTTTCAGAGTGTAACTCAGGCTGTGTATGCTCCAAAAATGACTGGGATCCTATATGTGGGGAAAATGGAATTACCTACATTTCTGCTTGTCTTGCTGGCTGTCAAGCATCCAATGGAAGTGGAAAAAACACTGTAAGAGATTCTTCTATTTCTGTATATGATGTTATAGTTTTCCTAATATAACCAGTTCTGTCACAGTAAATGAATAAAAATTGAGCAAGGTTAATCCTCCACAACCATAAACTCCTGAGGTTTATAGCAATCTACCACCCACATTTAAAACTTTTTCAAGTCCTGCTTCCAGTAGAAATCCCAAACAGATAATGTAGAAGAATTTTCTAGCTGTTGGCTACTAATAGCATCAAAACACACATGCACACACTAATTACTCATCACAAAAGTCAGTATTTCCTTTAGATAATTCTACTTCAACAACAACAACGAAAAGACTTTTTCCTGTTGTAAAACTTTTTTTCCACTACAGAACTAAGCTTCTGGCTACCCAGAAAAACATGACAGGAAATAGCTATAACATACATTTTCTTCTGTTCTAGTTATCATACCCTTTCACCCACTGTCTTCCAGGTATTTTATAATTGCAGCTGTGTGGGGATTTTAGAATCTTCTTCAAGAAGCTCATCCGCTGTGGTGGGACTGTGCCAAAAAGAAAACGAATGTCCAAAAATGTTTCTGTATTTTCTGGTAATATCAGTTATCACTTCATATACTTTATCAGTAGGTGGCACACCTGGATACATACTTCTTCTAAGGTAAGCAGTTTTTTCTTTTAGCATTGCCAATTGTTTTTGAGGTTCTTTGACACCTGTAATCAGGTTTTTCTTCCTAATGTTATGTGACATATTTCCAGCTTTTCAAGGTGTACTTTAAAATATTTTGTTAGTACTATAAGACACCCTCCGAATCCTGCAATGAATTTTCTATCTCTGCCTTCTTTACATTTCTAGTTGTAAACATAATACAAAAACTTATATCAAATTCTACTCACCTTAAGACATTTTACCTTACCAGAATGGTGAGGAGTCACCTTCGTGTGAATAGAAATCAGCTCTACATGTGCCTATGTGCATATGTGTGTACTTATAGGTAGCCAGTTTTCCTCACTTGCAATGGACACCAATTTGCAGGCATATAGAAATGATCTAACACAAATCCAATATATCTATTCAGATCCTCTTATTGGGTCCATTATATTTTTTCTATACATTTGCTACTTTAAAGATTTCTCCCTTCAAAATAAAGTTAGATTTTTCACGAGATGTTTTTGCTATTCCAACAGTTTTGATTTATCCCACTTATCCTGCAAGATTCTTCCACTACTTATTTCAGTGCTGAAAGTATTTGTCCAAAAGCAAATGTAAGTCTTTAAGCTAGTTTTAGAAAGTGAAAACAGAATATAACACTTCCAGTGCATAATCTGGATTTTTGTCAAGTTTTGGATTTTAAGTACTGCTCCACACGCTTTTGAAAAGCTTTCTTTTTCAGTTCCCTTTTTCCAAATTATTTCCATATGAGTATATGCTACTTCTGAAATGAAATAACAGTAAATATGGAATTAGGCTTTATAATTGCTGTGTTTTCTTACACCAAAATTCTCTTTACTTTTGAATGAAATATTCTGGAATAGGCTGTATCCAATTACCAATGTCTTTATACCACACAGAAAAATGCAGTGCTAGAATTGGCCAAATATATGCTATATGGAAAATATAAATAAAGAAAGAAATGCAAGAAATGCAAATCCAGCTGTGGTTCCAGCACAGTACTTGAATTAGAAGTAATGTTCACACAAAGACACGGAAAAATGGTTGAGTTGGAGGTCCTTTCCTGTTGCCCTCCACCAATATGTCTAATAAAGTACATGTCCTAAACCAGGTGAGCTGGATTTAAGGCTGAGCTAGGCTACAATCGCCTCTATTACCTCCATGTGTCACATCCCCTTCTGCGCATAAAATATATAGTAGGAAAAGCTCACAAATGCCGTGCTTAGCTGTGTCCTGTCTCCACTGGACCATGTTTGGGAGGAGACCTACAAGGCATATGGGACTGCCTGGACTTCACAATCCTCAACACTTGTTCTCCAAGGATTTGCTGCTTAGCAGATTTATCTGGGGAAGATTAGAGATTTTTTCCATAAAGATCCTTGAGCATTTTGTTATATGGGATCAAAGAGAAGGCTTCACTGGTTCTATTCCAGTACCTTTCATTCCTGTTGAGAATTATGCCACTTTGAGAGCAATCTAATTGAAATTGAGAAGTTATGTGCTCCTCAGCTGGAATAAAGGCACGAGAATCTGTTCCACAGCTAAATAAAACATATTTCAATACATTAAATCTTTTTTTATTATTATTTGCAAATGACCTGAGGGCGCAATTCCATTTTAAACTCATGCTCATTTTTTTTTGAAATCTATCAATGACCAGCTTTCCCTGAAAATACATCTGAACAAAAAGCATACTTTTTTCCCTAGAAAGAAAACACATGCTCTTTGAAAACAACTCCCAATGCTAAATCTCAGACTGCTTTTAAGCTTTTTTTTTTTTGCCATTATCTCTTTAAAAATTTTTCAGTTCGGCTAGCTCTGATAAGTTTCCATGACTGTGGCACACTGATGCTTTAAGATGAATATGGGATGTCCTTGCACCTGCTGTGGGGCATGAATATAGCCAAAACCCTCAAAGCCTAGAAGATTTAGTGACATTGACTTCAAGGTTTTACAAGACTAAAATCACTGGAGTGTGGTTAAAGCTAGGGGTTGAGTTACCTCCTGAAACATCTTTTTAATAGTTTTAGGTAAATAACAATTGCTAAGAAACTTGGGGAAGTCCTGAAGTTTTTGCGGGGAGTGCAGGGAGAGAATTACAATTTGGATTGTTGTTGTTTAAGGACAAGAGATTAATAGAGGGTAAATTAGCAGTGAAAAGAAAGTCTCATACCTCCCAAAAAGTGGTTAGCTTTTTAGAGTCTCAAAGATTTTGTGGAGAGACAACACAAATATTTTTTTTTTCTATCCAGAAGAGAAGATGTCTGTATTATATTCTCTATAAAGAAATCTTAGCAGGCTATCAATCTCACAGAACAGATAATAAATATCCAGTTTTTGTTTTATTTTCCACTTTGCTTTCTAGGTCCTCACATTTTGTTAAAGTGACTTCCAGGCAGACTTGTTTGTGTAACAAGGGTCCTGTAGCAACAGTAAAATACTCTTCTTCTGGCTTGATACTGTATTACATGCATCTTTGCAGAGATGACAATGCCCATGTAAATCACAATTACAATAGATTTTACAACAAAAAAAATATGATTGGAGCATTGGAGAATGATCCCTCAAATTGCAAAATGAGATGGATACAAAGATTTTTGAGTGTGTCAATACTTTGGTCTTGTTTTCCTTTCATATCCTTTGTGTCCTTTTGCCTTTTCACTAAACCAAGGGAAGATGATCTGAATATTATTCACAACAAGGGCTCGTAATGCTGTCCTAACAGATACATGGGAAAATAATAAATCATATATGGTGGGGAACCAAATAGCTAATTCGGAATTGTCTTAATTAATTTTTAAATAGTTTCCAGTTATATGAATTTTTTGTGCAAGCTGTGCCCATCTTAATTCAGAGCACAGAGTGTGTACCTTCAAAATGCTATTTTTAATTGTTAGTAACTGAATAGATGGCTATATTTTTATATATTGAATAGAAAGACTAACACAACAGGGAGCTTTATACATTATCATAATGAAATGCATGTACTGACCTCACCATATATCAAGCACGTCCCAGCTCAGCCATGTGACTGGGATTACTTACATGCTTAAAAATTGACTTGAGCCAGAAGTGCTCAGGAGCTGACACTGGGCTCACACGGCAAGTTTTAATGCAAATTGTCCTTTCTGTCAAAGATTTCTCTTTACAGGAGGTACGAAGGAGGATTTCTCTTTATAGCAGGTAGCATCTGATCCCAGATACATGGAAACTAATATAGTTTGCCTAAATACATTTTCTTAAGCTAGGTCATTATCCATGATTTTGTCAAGTGATTAATTGAATGATTGTTTGATTTCATGAGCCTATTCTTGTCTTCTGTTTGCAACTCCTGTATGCTACTTTTATCTGAAAATCAAACACCACTCAAATAGTGGTATTCAGTTTAGGTATTCAGAATTACTAGATGCAATTTTAATTTTATCATGTTATTTACATATTCCAATAATTCTGCTAAAGTCAGGTGTATTGCAGAGACAAAAATAGTGTATTTCCTCCCTCGTACTTTCTAGGAGTTCAGATGATGCACAATCCATTTCTTTATTTCTGCTTAACATTTATTCCTTTATTTTTAGGTGCATTAAACCACATTTGAAATCATTTGCACTTGGTATCTATACCCTGGCAGTAAGAGTGCTTGGTAAGTCTGGTTAGATGTATTTTAACGTAGTCCCTGTTAGTCACTTATCTCAGAAATTACCCTGGCTGTTGGAATGAACAACTTCTAGCTGACAAGCCAGTATTGTATGACTGAAACCAAAACAAGAAAAAAAGGTTGAGAAAAGTAGAGCATCTGCATATTTTTTAAACCCCATAGCTATATCAGACTTACAATAAACATGTAGACTGACAAACTACATGGAGATGACAAGGAATCTGAATTAGTACTATGAAGTTAAACATTAAAATTACTCTAGTCTCCTTTTACCCAATAAGAAGCCAAATAGTCTGGTCATTATTGAGTAATGTCTTATTATTGACTAATTAAAATAATACAATATTTTATAAACATATTATATTGTATAATTTATAGTTAATATAAACTAACTAAAGACTTATTATTGAATAATGATCAATAGATCATTATTCAGGCATGTTCTCTTTAGATTCTAGGGGAATTCCTGAGGTTAGGGTTGACCTAAAGCCAACCTTAGTCCTGTGGTAGAGCTGCCTGCAGATTTCTCTAAAAGCAAGGAGACCATGAGATATCAATGAACTGAGAGCTCCAAAATCTTCTAGGTCTTATTAGAAAAGATAATAATTAGCAAAAAAAAAAAAAAAAAAAAAAAGGCACTTATTTAAATAGACAAAATCAGAAGATACTGAGGCAGATGAAATGAAAAGCAAGGTTTTGGTTTTAGTTGTTTTTTACAACATCTTTGCCGGCCTGGCTCTTCCCTCCAGGCTTACTTGCTTTTCCAGGAGCGCTCAGCAGCTCCTTAGAGTCCCCTTTGGCTCCTTTCACACCCAAAGAAAGGTCATGCTTATGGTTCATGATCCAGAAGCCTGGCCATACAGAAGGACCTTTCTCCTTCCAAGATACTTGCAGTCTCACTGCAGGCTCGTAGCTCTGCTGTCTTTCTCCCTTCTCAGCCCATCCCTGCAAGAACTCTGGAAACAACTACCACCTCCCTGAGCTGAGCAGATTCTGTTGCACTTAGGGAAGGAGAAATGTATTCCATTTTTCCAGAGAGTTCCTACAAAGCAAAGTAACAGGGCCATAGTAAGCATACCTTCTGGCAACTTCAACAGGTTTTTTGATGTTCTTCTGCATTTTATGCTCCATCCTAATTTCACACAGGACAGATAGGTGTGTGTGTGTGTATGGAATGCAAGATGTAACTTCTTAAATCAGACAAGTAACTTCTTAAATCAGCCAAGTGTGAAAGTCTTATTATTATGAAATGCAAGATGTAACTTCTTAAATCAGACAAGTAACTTCTTAAATCAGCCAAGTGTGAAAGTCTTATTATTATTTTATTCTGCATGCCTCGAGATCAGAGATGATTACACTGGAAAATAACGTTATTGCCTCTATTTATTTGTTAAATACTTCCAGCTGGAATTCCAGCCCCAGTGTATTTTGGAGTGGCAATAGATACCACTTGCCTGAAATGGGGAAGCAAAAGATGTGGGGGAAGAGGAGCATGTAGACTCTATGATTCCAGGGCACTCAGGTAACAACTCTTGTCAATTAATGCCTTAAACACATATAAACATAATAGACTAGCACTGGTAAGAGAGTTTAGATCAGATAGATTGGGTGAAAAAGAAAATTCCTTGAATGAAAGGGTCTTAAAAGCAATAATAATTATGATGATACATTAATGCTCAGTTTTTAGTCTGTACTTTTCATTTAGTCGTTTTTGGTTAATGTTATTGCAATTTCTGCTGAAAATTTTCATTTTCAGCTTTCATTTTTATCCCTCCAAAATCAATTTTATCCTCACTTTTCTACCAAGACTCCTCCCATTTTCTCAGCAGCTCTGCTAGGGAAAGGGTTGGCGGGAGCTGTCATACCTCACCATTGATGCTGGATCACAAAAGGAAGGAAAGATGCCTTGAAGCATGCCTTGCTTATTGAAACGCTTAAGCTCTTTGCTGTTTTTTGTTGATTCAGTGGTAGAAGAGAGTAACTATGTGAATTATGTGTATCATGAAGATACATACGCCATGGATAATGGAAGAACACTGGTTATTCCATTATGGTTCCTTTTAAGGAAAACAAGAGAATAGGGAAAACAAGAGCATAGATAAGGTGTCACCTCTTCCACTCATCCCCCACAAAAATAAAATATAAGAAGAGGAGTCCATCTTCTTTCAAAAATTTCATCAAAGAAGAAAACAACAAAACTCATTTTGGACTCACTGTTAATAAAGTACATTGAGACATCATCATTGTTGTTGTTGTTGTTATCTGTTGGTAAATCAAAAATGTCATTGGTATCACTGATGTTGTTAACGAAGTAACCAAAAAAAATTAATTACCCTTGAAATATCAGCATTCTGCTCACCAAAGCACTTTGATGTGGAGAATGACAGTCAGTACCTGACACACTTTCTTTATCACTGTTCACATATTACCTTACTTACCTAGGTGAGCTGAGCGTCTCTTGCTGCAAGCCTCATCACTTTGCTACCATCCTGGAACTTTTTCCTCATTCAACTTCACAGCACAGAAGTGTGCTTTCTGACAGGTTGTCTTCTAATTGTACATTGCTTTCAAGAGAGGTCTGATAGATCTTTTCTCTCACAGGTATGTATACCTGGGACTGACTTTGGTGTTGGGCACCGGGTCCATTTTCTTCAGCATCGCAGTCCTTTGGGTCCTAAGGAAAAGGTCCATTCCACAAGACGAGCCCATCTCAGCCAGCAGAAGAGGCACTGGTTTGACAAAGAAGAGGAAAGATGATTTTGTCAACAGTGACCATTTAATTCAGACAACTTACTGGCCAGAAAAGGAAACGAGACTTTAAGCAGTTTGAGGTTTTTGTCAGTGACTTTATCTTGTGAATGTTATTCCAGATAAAAAAAAAATGATCATTGAAGCTCTTTGAGTGAGGTATCATCTTAATATTCAAATATTCATATTTATGCAATTTTCATTGTAAATACAAAAAAAAAAAAAAAAAAGCAAGCATTTTATTTTAGAATATGTATTTTTTCTTAAAACACTGCTCAACATTTGTCCTGCCAAGGAAGTGAAACTCAACAGGGAGAATTTGCTGGGTCTAAGGGGATGCAGCTTTCTTCTTCATTGAAAAGCAGCTTTTTGTCTGCCCCTCAGCTCGACTTCTCCAAGTCTAGCTGTAACTACTGCTGCTGCTGCCCCTATGCTTTCTTCCGCATGTGAGATGCGGTGTAGGATCGAGCTAAGTATCGGCCTTGCTATCAGTCCTGCAGGGAGCTGATGCACAAAATCTACTTCTTTAAATGGAAGGGGCAGAAAATATTCTGCATTGATTTTTCACACAAAACCGGTTCTACCAAAACATTTGAGCCATCAAATGCTGTGGGGATTGGGGATTTCATTTCAAGTATACTCCAGCTCTGTTACAGTACAACATTAACAGTAGTGAAAAATATCATTACAGCAATCAAAGATTCCATGAGAATATCCTACAAAGGTATTACTGGCATGAAAAAAATAGAGCTTTCTTTTAGCTTTCCAATAATTTCTTCCTACTTTCTAATACTCAATGTACTGAATAGTTCCATGCATTTTTTGCAGTGTTATAGCATCATGATATGATACATATGATTTATTTTTTAAAAAACTATGACAAGACTTCTTGGAATAATAAAATTAATTCAAAGACTAAGTGATTTGGAGCATTTATTTTTAATTTGTATTATTTAATTAGCTGGAATGAAGACTGCCTAATAGTATCCCTCTATATGTAATTTTGCAGTTCAATATTAATTGGTGTATGACAAATTTGAGGGATGGGAGTTCAAAAGGAAATGGTTAGCATGAGGCAGTTTCAAGGATGCTTTTGCTGAGATAGTGACTGCACCTTTGTAGACAACATCCTTCAAAGCAATTAGTATTTTAGAGTACCTGATGAGTGGGAAGCTTCACCATTTCATCATAATATTGCAAAGCAACCTCAGGCATCTCAGAAGTGACTTGCATCTCCGAAGTGACTGTAGATTCCCTGCTGCCTACGTGAGTTTGTATACTGCAGTTAGATGCTGAGTCTTTCTTGTGGGATGCGATGGAGCAATAGACATATAAGAACAGCTTTACTGAGCTTTATCAATTATAAATGATTAAAGTAGATCACTAGGGAACTACCTAATCAGTAGAACAGATTCCTCCTCAAAGACAGGGATGCTGCTTAGGCACCAAACCCTTGCAGAAGGGAAGGATTTTAAAGGGAAGGATTTTAAAGGGAAATATTTTAAAGGGGAGAATGTAGGGAGGAAGGGGCCAAACTCTTCTCAGTGGTGACCAGTGATAAGACACGGGGCAATGGATATAAGTTGAAACACAGGAAGTTCCATCTCCATGTGAGGAAGAACTTCTTTCCTGTGAGTGTGACAGAACCCTGGCACAGGCTGCACAGGGAGGCTGTGGAGTCTCCTTCTCTGGAGGTCTTCCAAACCCGCCTGGATGTCGCCCTGTGCCCCGTGCTCTGGGTGTCCTTGCTGGAGCAGGCGGTTTGGACTAGATGGTCTTTGGAGGTCCCTTCTAACTTCAACAATTCTGTGATTCTGTGATTCTGTAAACCAGTTAGATAAACCAGAATCACTTCACAAAATGTAGTTGTTAGAGGAAGGACCAATGGCCTCTGCAGTTTATCTCCTAGGTGAGTTGTTAGGCCACTCCCCAATTGCTAAACCACTCTCCACTATCTTTGAAAGGGCATGGAGAACAGGAGAGGTGCCTGAGGCCTGGAAGGAAGATAATGTCACTGCAGTCTTCAAAAATATCAAAAGGAGGACCCAGAAAAATACAAGTCAGTCAGGTTCATCTCCTTCTCTGGAAAGGTGATAGAACAGATCATCCTGGAAGTCTTCTCTAAGCACGTGAAGGACAAGAAGGTGATCAGGATTAAACAGCAGTGATTCACCAAGGGGAAATGATGCTCTATCAACTTAGTGGCCTTCTATGATGGAATGATTAGCAGGGTGGTTGAGGGAAGAGCAGCAGATGTTGTCTGCCTTGACTCCAGCAAGAATTTCGACACTGTCTCCCATGTCATCCTCCGAGGAAATCTCAGGAAGCGCGGGCTAGCTTAGTGGACAGTGAGGTGGGTTGCGAAGTGGCTGAATGGCAGAGCTCAAAGGGTTGTGATCAGTGACACAAGGACACTGCTTCTCAGCAATGCCAATAGTAGAGTGAGTAGAGCGCTTCTCTGCACATACCTGTAGCAAGACACCAAGGAAAATTTTCTGGTTTTCAAACTGTAAGTGCAGCTGTTGTAGATCTATATTTTACAGGAGCAAACTAAAATCTAAGCACTAACAGAAATGAGGGAGGAAAAGCTAATCATACTGCTACGTTAGTGACTACTATGGTCACACTGAATCAAGTCGAACTGTCAGTCTCTGCAAATTGAAGGTCTGTTGCAAATCACTAGCCTTGACTCAGGCAATATAAACTTCGTCTTGTGTCAGAGACTTGCATAATTTCATGTCAAAGAGAAAACAAAAGAGAAACTAAGAGAAAAACTTCCTGTTGTTCTAAGTCAGAAAGAAGCGTGAAAAAAGATTTAAAAGTTTTTACCTAGACCTATGCACATATGCCCATAATTTGTAGCTAATTCTTTGAAAGCTTGGCCATTGCTTCCATGCCGTGTTTCCAACACATATGAAGAGGAACATTATAAAAAGATTTATTCTGGCAAGGCATTTTTTATTATAGTTTAAAAATGAGCAGTCTTTTCCTCTCACCTTTCAGCAATAACAATGTTTTAACTGCCTTTTTCACTTTGAAACATTCTCAGGTCAACAACTGTTGTATTTTATTACTCCAGGTATTAAAGTAGATATAGGGATCAGTATCTGACTAGAGATATATGCCCTAGATTGCTTATAATAAACGACCAAATGCAGTAAGGAATTTGGACCTGTCCAGTTACTTACTACAATAATTTTTAAATTAAATCTATGTCTTAAGTTAAATAGCTGCTTGCATTGCATCCAAAAGATTAACAAATTTAGATTTTTTCTTCCCTTTTTAAAATTACAGCTATTGAACTGTAATTGACACATGATTTTCCTTTTCAAAAGTGAGGCTGTTAAAATAATTAGCTAAGGAGATTTCCAGACCTTGGATATCAGCACTTGAGGGTAGAGTAGGACATGTAGCCTTGTAAAGAAGCACCAATGCATTGTATGTCATGTAAAAATAGCATGCATGCATCGTCATCCTACAGCAAGTGCCTGAACTGGCACACATTAAAGAGCATATGGGTGCCAGACCATGTCACATGGTGGGAAGTCCAGCCAAGACGGGCCTTTGTAATTCTTCCTGGTTTCTCTCCCAGCAAAAATGTTCATTTTCAATGGCATAAAACAGCCTTCTTTAAAGCTAGTAATTCCTGGTCAGACCAGCAGGGAAAACTGAGCAATTCTAACAAATGAAGGAGTAGAAAGTGTCCACCCAGCATTTGAATGTAAAGAAGCATCAGGATGAAATGAAGTATCCTTAGCTCTGTAGCAGTGAAGCAGCTACTTCATCCTTGTGCCAGTATTAAATTGCAATACCAAATTCTGGAATCTAAGGGAATTTCCAGAGGAAAGAAAGTAAATATTGTGAATATACCAAAAAATATGTAAACGGAGTAATGATAGTTTACTCACTTGACACACTCAAAATAATGGACTGATGCATGAAACGATTAGTGCAATACTTTTAATTGTCAGCATGATCAAAATAACCATTTTCATCTGAGAGAAAACTTTGACCTTTTTATGTTTTTACTATTTTAATTTGTTTGACTGTTGATGACACAGTACATTTAAACTTTTCTAAGAAAATTAAATTCTGTGTAACACTAAAAGAAAAAGACATATAGAAGCTATATAGTGCATAGTGCACAGAATCACAAGTAGTTAATTCACAGGGCTGGCTAAAAAGTACTTGTAAATAGCAACTTTATAGGGAATCCTGAGTAACATGAAGAAAGGGTAAACATGTTGTTTACCCAAGAAGAGGATTTGAGGATATTAACAACCCGATGACCAGAAGTGTTTCTTCTGCTGATGAATATTAGAATTATGGAGGCAGAAGTTTAAAGAATGGGTTTAAAGAATGACCAGATGAAAGGGACAAAAATCTATGGAAGGCTCCTAAGAAAATGTAGAGGCCTGAAAGTATCAGTCTGAAAGAGTCTATGAGAAATCATGGTTTTATATCTATATAATATTACAAGGATGGTAAATAGGAACAGAAATTAGGCCTATTTATTCTACAAAAAATATATACAACCTAAAGGAGAAGAAAAGAGAGACCTAACAAATTTTAAGTGGAAGGAAAGTGTGGACAGGGATTGGCTGCTCACCAACACTTCCATTACAAGTACCAGGTAGCAAAATGTGGTGACCGCAAGAGCAAGGTTCAGAACAAACAAATTCAGTTGACTTTTCTCACAGTAGATAGAGGACTTGTGAAATCATGAAAACAATGTAGTATACAAAAGTAGGAACAGAAATAGTGTAGTTAAACAAAAGAAAACTCTATGTAGTGCCTTCTCCCACTGGTGCTGCTGAAGAATTCTCTTGCATTTTGAAACTAATTGGATAGTGGGAAGTGTATCATACGCAAGTAAGTGCATATGTATATATGTGTACGATACACTTGCTGACCCTTACTTTCTCTAAGCATCCTCCCTTGGTTACTGATCCTGAAGCCCTGGGGGCACTAGTGGATGAACCTTAATGGTCATGACCAGGCTTACCTGGGAACCTCACCTCTCCCCAGGAGCCCAGGTAAGGCTAGTCAGGACTATTAAGGTCTTTGGGGACTTGCCCCTTGCTGAGCAATGTTGAGGTATGGGCTATTCCTAAATTTCTGTTTGAATTTCCTGAGTTGTCCTTGGCCCTTCTCTTGTTGGATGTTCACTGACCTGCTGCTAGGACCAGAGGCTCTGACTACACCAGCTCTGGTCACCCTTGTTGACTACTGGGAACTGCATCCTCTCAACAAGTGGCAAACACTGGAGTTGCCTTTGCTCCTGGTTCATCCCACTTGTGGGGTAGTCCTTAAGGCTACAGAGATGGCATATCTGACTCTGGATAATGATTTTTATTATGCCCTGGAGCATCTTTAATGAAGTTAGCACAAAGCAGGACTTCTGGTGCCAATCAGCCCACAGAAGAAAGCAAATCCATAGTTGTGATAAAACAATATGAGGGAGCAATTATGAAGGAGAGGTCATTTCAAAATGCTTATTAAAATGACCTCACTTAAGCAATATGTGGTTAATATTACTAGGAGATTAGTTAACCAATAGCTCATTGAAGATTAAGGCAGTTCACTGAATGCTGAAAAGGAGGATACAAGCAAAGCATTTAGTGGACAGCAAACAGAGCATGTTCTCACAGCATGACAGTGACTCAATCAGGAAGCTTCCTCTCGTGCCAGGGGAGCAAGGTAAGTTAGAGTGAACAGTTGTGGTACATGGGATGTTACTATAATCCTCTCCTGGATCCTGTGTTGTTAATGAGTTTAAAAGAAGATGCTGAGAAATGGGATGGCTGTTTATGTGCTATGCACTCAGGAAATATCTGTCACAGAGTGGGAGACTAGTCTCACACAGAGAAAATACAGATCTTGTCCAAATCACCTTCACATATAGGAAGATTCCTGATTGGAGAGGACTATTAAATCCTGTAGGAAAGAAAAAAAAAAAAAAAAAATTAAAAAAAAAAAGTAGAATATATTCCAGCATATGGAACTTGAATAGGACAAGATTGGCTTAGAAATAACATGCATTTTCTCCAAGAACAACATTCTTTGGAATCTTTGGAAATCCATTTTTCTCTCATTTTCAGTCTTTAAACCAAGACTTCTTCATGTACAAGATCTGCTGTGGTGTAACAAGACAGAGCAACAGCTTAGTGAAGCTGCTTTGTGTATTGAGCCAAGCATTCAATTTCTTGAGCAGAATAATTTTTTCAGGCCTTAAATGGTACTACCCAGACCATTTTTTTTCTGGGTTTTGTTTCGGTTTGGTTTTGTTATGCTAAATAACAAAAACACAGCTATATATCTGAATATATATATATATATACACGCATCTATATATATACAGATATAGATATATAGATGTGTACATCTATATATATACAGATATAGATATAGATATATCTGTATATATATAGATATATCTGTATATATATAGATGTGCATATATATAGATAGATAGATATGCGTCTATACACAGCACACCCTGAAGCAGGCTGCTGAATAGAAGGAGGAGCTGGGCAATCGTCATTACAAGCCGCTCTTCACATTTTAAATGGAAAAATTAATGGAAATAAATAAATAAATGTAAAAATAATAAAAAAAGGCATAATTAGAACACACCCTCCTTTTTTTCCTAGATTACATGCATAACATAAATAATTAGTAAGATTATCATTTTTTCAGAAATGAGAAACGCTTCACTGAGTAGTGGAAGGAGCAGGTCCCAGACAACAGCTAAGACGGTGACAGTTTTTGATAACGCCAGATCAGTTTGTAAATACTCATTCATTTCTTTTTATCTCTCCAGCTACGAACTAGTATTAGATGCACTGAATCAGCCGCAGCAGAAAGCCTTTCCTTCTCCTGAAGGAGCTAAAAACATTCTGTGAATGTTTTACACAGTCTCAGGGCTCCTGTATTCATGCAACGTACCATTTATTTTTCCTAATGCGCTTATCAAGAGTTAAATTCTAAAGTCCACTGATTTCCTTTGCTTAGGAAAGTAAATGTCCGAGTATAAAAGGGCTCAAATCAAAGCTGCCCACTGCAGTTGGCCTGGTGGACTGCCGCTGCTCCCTCACCCCCTGAGAATTGGTGCCTTGGCAGTCACTTCTTCTAGTGGGAGTCTGCTGCCACCCTCTGCCTGGAGGAGTCTGCAACCATCTCCTGCTGTAAAGGTCAAGCTTAGTGCAGCTATTGTAAGAATTGCTTTTATTCTCAGGAGCAAACAGTAATTACTGATATTTCTGTGTTCTTATTAAGGGGATCTTGCTCTCATAATCCAATTATTTCCCTTGAATGCAAATTAGAGTCATATGGGAGGAGTTCAACAAAATGAAAAACGATGAGATGCCTTTGGGTTTTTTTTCCAGATTTGGTACCATAGTCTGTCATTTGACTGTAGCATTTCCTCATTTCCCATTCTAGTTCATTTGTTCAACATTAAATGCTTCTTGTTCATAAAGGCCACTTTGAGTGTGAAAGCTTCCATGCATGGCTTGGATGCACAAGGCTTGGACAATAGCCATTCACAAAATAGTTTGAATAAAGAAAAATAGTTCCTGGCCATATAGAATCTGAAAATTAAAGTTATTTTCATTCCAAAGCAAGTTATAGGTTAATGGTATACAGGTAACTAGAAAAAACATGGTAGAAAATGCTGTGAATTCAGGTACTGGACCAAGGAAGCCAAAGAATTATTGTTTTCCCTTTTTGTCCTATGAGAATTAACACTTTTTTTCTACAGGTTCTGTTACAGAGTGTGTTAAGATTGGTGCCTTTTTATGCTTTTAGAAATATAAGGCAAAAATTGGGTGGGACTTTTAATATATCTGAACACAACCTGACAAGGAAATCTTAGGAAAGGTAAGATTCATTTCATTATGAAATATCATAAAACAAGAGGAAACACTTAGCATAATTAAAGCATATTGGCATACTTAAAGTGTAATCATGGAGCTTGTGACATATCTCTGAAGAAGGAGGACACAGCAAGGATGTGTGCATGTGTCCTACATGGAAAACCAGTAACTACACTGAGAAGCAGAAATATGGTATGTCATACTGTAATAAATAGCAATAAACCACTGCCAAGGCAGCCTATCCTGAAGACTAGCTGAAAACCTCAACAGTTTATGAGAAAACTGTTAGGAGAGCTGATGCTTTATCCCACAATGTAATGCAAAGCATCGCTACCTCCTAGAAGGAAAAAAAAGGCCCATATCTTTCAGGACTTTACAGAAGAGTCATGAATTTGTACTTACTACATGTAATTAATTCTAAGCATGTGATCATATGTGACTCTACTCTTTTTCAGTAAAATGGTCCTTTTTTTTCTTAATTCAGACCTAAATCTTACGTACGGATACAGTGATAATAACACCATTTTTTTCCTGTGCAACATGGAACAAACTCCTCTTTTACTATGTTATTGATCGCTAGTAGTGGAAACTTTTATTGCAGAGTGGATTGGTGATGTGTGTTTCTGCCTGAATTCCTATTTTCTATTGTTACTAATGCTTGCATTAATTGCCCTAACAACTTCGAGATGACTACTTGCTTCTTGATGATGTTGTTTTGGGGTTTTTTTCATGTTGTTTTTTCTCTGTTGAAGCTAAGGGAGCTTGAGTGTCAGAAATAAAAGCCAGTGAGTGGTGATAGATACTACAGCTGATATCATAATATTATTGAAGGCTAACTAAGAAAATGCAGAGGTGGACAATGTTAAGTAGGGTGTAATTGTTCATACCAGGTAGAAAAATAGGTGTAGCGACGCTATTCAAGATTGCCTAAAAGGAAAAAAAAAAAAAAAAGGCACATTTTGGCGTAACATCTATAACCGTAGTTAACACGCTCTAAAAATTAACTTCTGTTTTAACTGAAATAACTCCTAACAGTCATATATAATGCACAATAAGGACAATTAGATAAAACTCCTTCCCGGACACCAGTTCAGGTTTCCTTGAACTAGAGCTGCAATTGGACAAAGATCTATTCCAAAGTACATATAGTCCCAGAATATTTTCTTGTTGGGTTTGCCTATGTTGTTAATTGCACTGAATCTAAATCCCATCATTATTCTAAGCATGAATGTTTCTTGAACATCAATGTTGTTCAATATACTCAATGTATTATATTTTATCTTCCTACAAATCCTTGGCTATGTCTAACAGGTTTTCGTGTTAATAGATTTCAGCCATAGATTATGAAAATGAAATACCATACCAAGAGATGTTTAAACTATCTGTTATCAGAAACACTCCCAAAGCTGGGTCACATAATTTTTAAGAGCAAGGAAGGCATGAACTATATGAAATTACAAACTTAATGAGCTCAAGAGGAGTGCCGCAAAAGAGTGTGCAAATTGCACACTTGTACATTTTCTACCTAATTAATTTTTGACCCTGGTAGATAAACATGTATTTAGGGACTTTTAACAGAGGGCAGAACTGGGAGGAGACAAGATTAAAACTATCTAAACCGTAGCTTATATTTGCTTATGCTAGTAGTTAATGATTCTTCTACGAAGTACCAGCTCAGTCTTGCTTAAGGAGAGACTATTCTGGCTTTTGATTATTTGAGCATAACCCCTGTTGTTGTGGATACAAAACCTAGGTAGGCACTCTTTTAATATTCTTTTTGTTTGTCTTAACTTTAAAATGTTACCATTTAGTGTTTGCAATTAATGAGTATTACCAATATAGTATTAGTCTCATGTCCTGTGACCAGTAATAGTAGTAAAATTCGTGTTGCATTGATGGCATCCTACAGTTGTATGTTTCTCCCTGAACAGTAAACACTGTAGCTCGGGAACATGCAGCATTTAGGCCTGCACAGTGCTTTGTGATATTCATTTCTTATATTACATTAACTTTGTACATCTTATTATGGTTCCTTAATGTATACAAAGATCAATAAGGTTCTTGGGTTAGCGTTGCACTTGGTATAAGTTGAGATAATTACATATACCTGTGGATGAAATCTGGCTCCTGATTTGTGATATTGCAGTCTGCTGGATGGTGATACATATTTTTGGAGTGCAACTGCAGTGAGAAACAGCCAAAAGAGTCACAGTTTCCTTGCTGGATTCTGAAAATTCCTCATTCATATTTTCTGCACCTTTGTATACTGAATACCCATTACTCATGTCATGCTTTAATTAGTGCTCATTACAATTTACGTAAACGCAATGAATGGGAAACCAAGTTGAAATTTTTTTAAGATGTACATTAAGGGAGAGGTTAGTATTCTGCAGCCCAGAGGTGCCTCTAAGGTCCTGTAGTCGGAAACACTAAGAAGCCTGTGCAAATGGGCTGCTGGACTTTGCAAGGGGCTTGCAGGGTGCTGTGTGCTTCATGTGATGTTGTGAAAGCTTTCAGCTCCCATCAGAATAAATGACCCACACTAGTTACTAATTAAGACCCTTGATCTCCCCTCACCCCAAAGTATTTCTCTGAAGACAATGTATTGATCACAAGAATAAACTCAGTACCTTATTTCCTTTTTATTTTCTTTTCCCTCCCTACTTACTACCATTACAAGTACACTAGCTACTTTTCAGATATTCCCTGGGTATAATGAGAAAATAAGCTAGAAAAAGGGCGATTGGAACAACACGGAAGAGCTGAAAGAGGATTTCCATTCTAACGGAATGACTCGGGCTTTGGAGATTTTTTTCCTTATGCTTTTTTTTCTGGGGGAAGTTTGTTTATTTTCCTGGAAAAGGAGACAGGGTGATTTGTTGTTGTTTATTTTCAGCCCAAGCAACTACCTAGGTAGGCTTGTTATGTGCGCAACTATGTTTGCACATTGCGCTATGTTATCTGCTGTCTCTCTTCTTGATGCAAACGCAATGACTTCCTGCAGCAGAATGGCTTGTACAAGCAAAGAGCAATAGTCGGAAAGAAGAGGTACAAGTGAAAGAATAAATGTGCTTCTGATAATTCTACTGATTCCCAGAACTTTTGTTTCTTAAAAATGGTAATAAATGCTTGTGGGATATTTTTAAAATAGCAACTTCATCAATACTTTTTAGCCTAGACATGGTCAAGCTCAGCAGTCATTTATGTTAAAAACAATTGTAAATGTACCTTTTAACTTTCTTTTTCCTGATCTTCTCCCCAGTCATGATCTTTTATTGACTCTAAAAGATCTCCACATAGAGGCAGCAGAGGACAAAAGCAGAGGCTGCCAGCAGCTGGTCCTTTCACACACCCCAATCTAACATTTCTCTGGAAGTGGTTGCAACACCTTTCCTCTCACCTCTCCTCTGTCCTGCAACAGTGCTTCCAGGAGCCCCTGCGCAAAGCAGCAATGGCACACGGGCTGTTCACCCCGCGCAGGACCCAGTCACCCTGCTCTTGCCTGGGAATCCTTCCCCTGGTCACTGCAGTAGCTTGTCATTGAGCTGCTGAGCCAGCTGGCTGCCCACTGCTAGTTGACTTTACACTTTTCTGCATGCATGAGGCAGATTTTGGCCCCATTTTTCTTCTCTCTTGTCTGACCCTTCTGTCGATACTTGTTCCTCTACTTACAACTCTTTTCTTAACCTACTGTGTGATACTGCTCTCACTCTCAGGAACTGTCTTCCCTTGGACTCCACGGGCTCCTCATACCTTAACTTGTTTCATTAGTTACGGATTCTAAACTGCCTTTCTGTTTTCTCTTTTTTTACCTCTTATTTCTATCTTCATGTTTTCCTGCTTTGTTCACTCTTTCCTTACATTCAGAGTTTAAGTCCTGTTGTATCTTCAAACTCCTAAAAAAATGCTTCTATAGCCTTGTCACCAGTGATGACCTGCTATCCTAGCATCTTACTGTGGTCTTCAATGTATACTCATAAGAGGGAAGAACTAATCTTCACATTACACGGGTAGCTATATTTTGGGAGATCAGATACTCGGAAGTATTTGAGTACTCACTCCCAGATGCACCAAGGGTCTCGTTCCTCAAACATTTCTCTTATTAACCATGCAGATTTAAGTAAATCCTTCCTCTACGTCTTGTTCCCATCTGTCTGGGGAATTAAAGTTTGCCTGTAAGATTAAGGAATCAGAAATAATAAGAAGAAATAAGAAGTAAGAAGAAATTATTTTTCATTTGGATCAATTTTTTCACCCAGGCTTACAGTATAGTCATAGAAGCAGTGGCACTTGCTTTAGTGAAGAGTGCAGGAAGTAGATATCAACTTGGGAAAGGAAAGGAGTTATTTAAGGCAGTAATACCACTTAAGGACAGGCTGGGAAACCGAAGCCTAAAAAATTTTTAAACTGGTAAAATCTCCGCTTACTTGTTTTAACATTGCTGAGGCTTGCCCCATTTGGGTAAACAAAATTATTCATCAGTACCGTGCATTAGAGCAATGCCTGCCCTTCAACTGCTCAGAAAAATTTGCAAATGCAGCTGGACTTCTTCCAGCACTGGAAAAGCTCATTCAACTTTTTTTTCAGTTCTATTCAACCATGGAAAATATCTCTTTGTGTGCTTTTTTCCTCTCTCTACCTCTTTCTTGGTCTTTTCACAAAGGAAGAGACTACTGTGAAATGTGAAATAAATCAGTTTCTGTGAGCTATAATTTCTGAGCTCTGAGTTGGATTCATTAGTTTCAATATTCCCATTTCCTCTGTGTGTCAAGATCTGCAAATCTGAAGAGTGGTTTGTTCCAAGTGATCCATTTTCTCAGAGAGGCTCTGCAGTGGCTTTTGGATCTTCCTTCAGAAATCTGTTCTGTTTGTAGTTGGAGTTGCACAAACGGGCAAGTTTTTTCTCCTTCTTTAAGTAAACTTTGCAGCTAGTTATGTAAACTTCCCTTACAGTATTTCACAGAAGTAGTCTCCTTTAATATTACTTACCCATCCCTCCAATATAGAATTCTAAATAGTCAGTAATGACAAATGCGAAGTTTGTAATATTTGTTGCAATAAAAACAAATTCAACTTTATCATGCAAATAACCTTTCAACAATAAAAAAAATCTGTTATTTCAAAGGAGGGAAAAGATTAATCTTCTGTGGCTGCAGTATGTGCTCTTTGCAGGGGAAATGGAGCAATTCTGCTGAACTGCTGAGTAGCAGCAGATCTCATGCATAAATTGCATTCTGCAGAGATAAAAATACTAAGGATATCCTGCACACATTGCAAGAGAGAGCTCCTTACAGCTGAGCTCCTGTAGCTGAAATAATTAATTCTTCTTGTCATCGAGAATTGTGTATGTACAGCCAATTCAAAGGAATAAGTAGGATGAATGTAGGTGACCTAGTGTTATCACATTACTCTCACCAGAGTGCTCATTGACCTCTAAACCTCCAGACCCAGAAATGCAAAGCCTCCCTAGGACTCCCTACTCTTCAGCACTGATACTACGTTGACCCTTTTATGTTGTTTTTGGACAGAGGTGCTCCCTCTTACTCTTTTCAGAACTAAAAGTCATTCCAAACCAAAAAAAAAAAAAAAAACCAAACACAAGCAAATGTGGGAAGGAGGGAGAAAAAACTTACATTTAAATGAGAGATATCAAAACAAGATACTTTAAAACCTAAGCAAATATGCACTTTGAAACACCCAAGTCATTGAACCAAAACCTTTCCAATGAAAAGATTCGATTTCAACATCTCATCATTTTCCCATAACTGCTATTTCATCAGAGGGATCCTTAACTAACTTTGCCTTGACGTATGTGTTCCTGTATTTATTATTTTTTTCTCTCACATTTAAATATTTCAGTCGAGAAATCAAGTATGAAGGTGGAAACTGAATCCAGCCATGCTGATGCCTCAAATCAGGAAGCTGAACCTGCCCAACTTTTGGATGATGAAGAAAACAAACACCTACCAGTCAAAAAGAAGACTTCCTGTTGCACAGGCCTGAAGGTTTGATGCCTTATCAATATTACCATAAATTATTATTGTCATAGGTCAAGAAATTTTGTTCAAAATGTGACATGGCAGATCATTCTTGCTCCCTCTATCTTTTTGAAAACTGAATACAAACTGAAGGTATGGGTAAGAGTTTGATCTTATCAAAACTTACACTAAATAAAATAAGCTAAGCTAACATATTCATGTTATGCTTGAGCTTGTTGACCTCAAGCTATTCATAGTTAAGCCTCATCTTAGTCACTGAAGAGAGGTAGACTTCACACTGGGATGAAGACTCCAGTTCTTCCAGACCTCATCTCCAGTAGTGGACTTCATCCAACCTGAAATAGGTGTCTAAAACACAGTGCTGCCTGGATTTTGCTGTTGCCATCCATTTTTGTATGGCCCAAACAGGGTGACACTAACCCTGTTCCAGGATGTTTAGCAAATACAAAGGCCTAAGGATTGAAGAACTAAAGACTAAAGTCCCTAGTGCTCTGATTCACATAACTACCTGAGCTTTCAGGAACACATGGGGTGAATTTAATACATTGACTGAACAAAGCTGGTTAGAATTTTGCTTTAATGTTAGAACCTTAGTATTTATCGGGTCTGTTTGAGCTGCAAATACTATGAGGGCAGGATTCCTTTTACACTGTTTTGTTTGAGTCTGTGTCTTCGCTAGTTCCTGAGTCAGATTCATCTGTGCGTATTTCTATAACTCAGTGGAGTTGTAACCAAATACACATTTCTTCCTATGAAAAGTTTGTAAAAGAAAAAATTAATTGAAAAATAAAAAAAAAAAAAAAAAAGGGAATTGCAGATATCTGTCTCAAATGTCTGGCTTGTGCTGGGCAAAGGTTTTCACGTTTCGTATTTTATGACTCATTTTTGCCATCCATATACACCTGCAAAAACAGAATCTGATCTCTCTGGGAGAATTGTGGCACTTAGTTTGCCATCATATGAACAGATAATGCTGCAAGACAGTGACTCCATAACTGAAAGTCCTACCTTTATATATATTTGAGTTTAATAGACACAGTATCTTTAATGTAGTAAAAGCCAAGCTCTTTTTCTACTTTACTTTCCTATGAAAGGTTTTTATGGTTTGTGTTAGAATTGTTTTTTTAAACTCAAAGTGCCTAAGTCTATTCTGTTTGTGTTTTTATCCTTATCTGCAGTTTGTGATTTCAGCTAGGTCCAAAGAAAGAGCGTTACTGAAATAAGGAAAGAAAGATTTTCTGTCAGACTCAGCAAATATAAAACATAGGAGGACCATGATCTGTACTTGTGATATTTTTCCCTTCATTCCCAGACAAAAAAGAATATATATCATTATTTTCAAGCATTTACTGTCAGGATTGACCTTATATCTTTCAGTAGATAGTAATGCAAAAATCTAAACCTATATTTAATTTTGTTTACTTAGCCAATATTGTATTTTATTGTAACTTTTACCCAGTGAGCAATAAGTCTATTTGGTTTTAGTCTCTGTTGAAATGTTTGGATAATATTTAAACAGACTTAGTTTATCTTGTTATCAGATACATTGTTGTTTGCTAAAGCCTCAATATGTGTTAGTGGAAACAACTATAAAATAACAAAGAATATTAAGCTTTCCTTTATAAGATATGCAGTACACAAGCAACATGGCTATGATATATATAATCATATATATAATTTACAATACAAATATATATATATTTAAAATACATCTAAAAAGAGATCCATCCATGTCTAAAATAAGTAACACAAGGCCCAAGCAGAAGATAACTCTGGCTAACGTTCATCTGAGGCTAGATTATTTTCTACAAGTCTCTGTTTGTAGAGAATTTTACCACGGACACACTTAACATTTCTATGACATTTAGAAATCCCAACATTCTGGCTGCCCAACACAGGGCCTCTAACAAACTTCATTCCTGAACATCACCAAGGTAAGCAGTCCCCAGGGAGATGTTTGCTGAAATTTAAATTCCACAGTCTGTAGAATTCCTGCCTTGGAAAACCTTTGACCAGCAGCGCAGGAAAAATCAAGCTTTCTGGTCACTGAGATGACCAGAGCAACCCTGTACATAGGTAAAGCAAGTGGCTGCTCTAGGAACGCAGAGACTGGGGCAAACCTTGCTGAAGGACCACCGTGACTCTGCGTAGCATGAAGGCATGTGCAAACACACACAATGTTGTCGCTGGAGTTGGGTTAATAAAGTCAAACCTAATGAGACATACACTGTAATGATTGTTCTACACGAGTTTAAGCATATGTCATCTTTGCATGACCTGCTTCCCAGTTCCTACCTCCCATTTTCTGTCCTCATCTTTCCTCAGGTGTTTCTTGCTGCTTTATCGTTCAGCTACTTTTGTAAAGCGCTTTCTGCCACGATCATGAAAAGCTCCATCACCCAGATTGAAAGAAGGTTTGACCTTACGTCCTCTACAGTTGGTCTCGTTGATGGAAGTTTTGAGATGGGTAATTGATATCCCATATCATATAGCAATTTTTTCAAAGCAGTGTGTGACACAGCATCTGGTATTGATTTTTGTTTATTTTTCTGCTTCAGGTAATTTGCTGGTGATTGCGTTTGTGAGTTACTTTGGAGCTAAACTTCACAGGCCCAAAGTAATCGCTGTAGGATGCTTTATTATGGCTTTGGGATGTCTTTTAACAGCAATGCCTCATTTCTTCATGGGATAGTAAGTACTAAACAAGATTAATTTGGGTAACAGAATGTTGGATATCACTTTCTGTTTTCTGAGCAAAAGCTGGTATATATTAAGTCTTAGATTTTTCAAGAGTATATCAAATGAAAGCGCTATTAATCATGTGACACATAAATTACTGTATGTTTTATCTGATTGAAAAAATATGGTTGCTCCAAGGCAACAGTTTACCTTTTGGCAAACAATTTGCAAACCAAAATGCTTTGAATTTCAGTCAGGTTTGTTCTGAAGTGGAGACAGAAAAGGAAATAGTTTTAGGAAATTACTATAAATATATGTATATAAATTTGGCAGGAGACAGAATCCTATGAAAATCTTTTAAAAAACAATTTTCACGCAGAAAAAATGTTCTTTGAAAGTCTTCAGCCATTATACTGGGCTAGTGCTATTGATTTAAAGAATTATATAATCTTTCTGAATTGTTTACTGTGTGAATACTTTATTGGGTTTCCCTAATCAGTGACAATCTAGGGATGTGGTATCACTGGGTGGTAATAGAGATGTCAGGTTTATGTAGGCAGGAAATTTAAACCATCATGAATCGCAGAAAAATTATAAGCTACACCCACCTCTGTGGTTTCCAGAATAAGTTGTAATTGGTGCTGTTCTGAATAGGACATCAAGCTTTGAGCTAGTAGGTTCGTATTGGGTGATCATCCTACCTGAGATATAAATTTCTTTACAGTAACAGGCAACACCCATGCAAAAGCAGAGCTTCAGAAGTAAATCATGGAAGAAAACAACCTACAAAGGTGCTTGCTAGAAGAAATCCAGATCCCTGAAAGAGGCACCCAGAGCCTGGCTGCAGCCTCAGGCAGTCTGTGGCAAACAGTGATCCCTAGCACAAAGAAGTCTTTCAGCTTCAGTGAGAGTTTACAGATGATTCAGTGCTCATAGAATTGGTCCCTTTTCTTTTTTTTTCCTGTTCCAAATGCTCATGGGTGGTTAAACTTATTATCTGCGGCTGGTTAAACTAATTTCCATGATTCTTCTCCAGATTCGGGGAGTTACTGTCTTGTGCTGATAAGTTATAATATTTCTAGCCATAGGTCTGAAGCAGTGAAACTATAGAGTGAGACATATTTCTGTTACTTGATTAGATGTATTAGAATATTTTTAGTGTGCTATTGCAAAAAGAAAACTAAAGAGCACATTTGATCACAGTGATTTTGTCTTGCACCAGCACCAGATGGCTATTTCACACTGCTTAAGCCAAGCTGTGTATCTGATTTGTCTATACTGAGAAACCCTATGAGCTAGAGACTGAATTTTTCTGAGGAAATTGGTCTGCAGCGTCTCCTAAGATGAACTCTTTGTTTCAAATTGAAAACAGGTTTACATGGTCTAATAGACCCTGTCCAGTTCCTAGAAGCATAAAGTATATGTTATCATATTGCTATGCCTGAACTAATTGTACTTTAACTGAACTAATTTGCCCCTCAGGAGGCTAGTATCTGGGAAGATCACTGTGCTAAAACAGCAGGATTTTTTCTAGCACCTGAGCAGCTCTGCTGTCTCTCCACTGCATTTCCCTGCACCCTGTAAATATACCCAATAAGTGACTTTAAGAGATTTAATCCATTCTCTGCTCTACAGTGCCCAATGTCAATTAACAGGGCAGCAGATACCTACTGAGGATCAAATCTCCTTTTTGTGTGTGTTTCTGTTTTCCATATTTTAAAAAGTTCTCTTTTTTATTCCTTCATTAGCATTTTGGTTTGATTTTAAAAAACAATACATTCCTCTTAACAGAAGTAGCAGTCAGGTGATTGCTATATGCTATACTAATATTTCCACAGTAAATACTGCTTCTAAATGTTGCATTGTGTGTTTCCAGCTATAAGTATGAGGCAGTGTCACATAGAGCATCTTCAGCCAACTTAACTTCAAAGATAAATCCCTGTTTGCTACATCAAGATGCCAACAAAACTCTTTTGGAATTCTCACAAGCAGGTAAGTGTAAGTACCAGCGAAGCAGTTATTTAGTTTCATCCTGTCTTGGTATTCACTTGAGTGAATTATTCCCCAGTGTAGGATGCTCATTAGATTTCTAAATTCAGGCTCTACTTGTTTGGGAATATTGCTAGCACTTAATTGCACTTTGTGTATTTCATTTGCAGAAGAATCAATGAACAAACACAGATTACTAGGATCCAAATCACGTTTCCTACATTCACCTTTCCAGATTAATAAAATGACCCTAACATTAAAAAGATTGCTGAGAGTGTATGCAAAAAGAATTAACTTCTCAAAAAAAGAGATTCGGGTACTAAGGACCCAGGAAAAAAACAAAAAACAGTAGAATGACATGGAGGAATCTGAAGTTGGATAGTTCTAACCATAAATGAGTAGAGGTATCTATGATATTACTTATAAATATGAAGTATAACTTTCATTCATTTTGCTTAGCATGGGTAGAGAATGAGCTAAGTGTGCCCAGGTGATGATCTCTTAACTTCTCGGGTTAAAGGTATAAGTCATATTCCAGACAATATCTTTCTGACAATATCAATCTGTCATTTCCTTTCTACATGGATATTTCTGGGGTGGGGATGGTACCTGTATCTTTAGAAACCAAACATGACAAAGATTAAGGTAAGTGTTATTAAAATATTATTAAAAGATATAATGACACTTGCAGTCTTGTCTTAATATTCCATAAAAATAATGTTGTTAATGCCTTACATATTAAATTGTAAAAATTTTATTTCCTTAATTTCCTGCGATTTGTCAATATTTCCCATTCAACTATTCTATCTTGAAGATGTAACCCTCATTATGTGCAGGCTGTGAAAAGGAAACATCATCATATATGTGGATATATATCTTACTGGGAAACATGCTACGTGGAATTGGTGAAACACCAATAACACCACTGGGCATCTCTTATCTTGATGATTTTGCCAAGGAAGAAAATGCACCTCTGTATATAGGTAATCTCAAAGTAAAATAAACTGAGAAGTATTTAGAGTAAGAAATTAGTCATGATCTGCAGGAGAAATTGTTCAACCATTAAAATATGCTTGTATTTACAGCAAGTTTGCACACAATAGCTATGCTGGGCCCAATGTTTGGTTTCATGTTGGGATCACTATGTGCAAGACTGTACGTGGATATTGGATTTGTGGATTTAGGTAAGTAAAGCACAGATAATGAGAAAGTAAGATAATATGTTAAGAGCCAATTTACACCACTATAGGTAACAGATTCCTCTACCCACCTGTAAGTCTTCACTATATTCCAAAATATTGATGAAAGTTCGTTTTGACAAGACAACTACACAGAGACTATATTTTAGACTCCTGCTTTAGGACTAGAAGACTAAATACATAATTAATTTTAAATATAAGAAGTCTTGGGACCACGTGTACAAGAAGTCTCATTAAACAAAGATGTCTTACTAAACTGAGATCTTAATGAGAAGTTCTGTTTTGAACTGGTGAACTACTCTTTCAGCTAGTCATTTTGCAATATTTAAAATTCATTTAATGTTTGCAATATATTTATATTTCTTGCTTGTTTTAATCCAAAGGAAAAGCATGAGATCACATCCAAAATTGGTGGCCATGATCTGCGTCCTACTCACAACTGGAAGAGGGAGAAACCATTTATGAGTCCATATTTCCTGGCCAGACCCTCCTTCATTCTCCAGACAAGCTAGGGAGAGCTGTGCAGTGTGGGCTGCTGGAAAATTTTCAGGAGATAACCCATCCATCAGCAGCAGTGGGTGATCCCATTTTACTGGCAGGACAGAGAATTTGAGCTCTTCAGGATCCCATGCTTGGATAGGTTAATTATTTTATGACATCCCTGTGGTAAGCCAATATTATAGCATAATTAATTATGCATAATTAAGCACAAGGGCATTGAACCAGTTCTGCACAGTGAAAAGTCTTACAGTGTTGGTCCACCAGCAACATATGCCATAAGAACCATAACAGGATCCAGGTGTGATTCCTGATGCCTCCGTTGCGTGAAAGGTCTCTCACTAGATGATTATCTTTAGCACTGGGAGTCAGTGCTACTACTGCTGTCCCATGTAGGTATGTTTGTAGGTAAAGAGTGGAAACTTTTTCTATTTCCTCATTTAAATAACTCATTTCTGTCTCACTTGATTCTAGAAAGCATCACTATCACTCCACAGGATTCTCGCTGGGTGGGTGCCTGGTGGCTTGGTTTTGTCATAGCTGGATCAATCAGTCTCTTGGCTGCTATTCCTTTCTGCTTCCTGCCGAAGAGCCTGAAAAAGCCAGAGGGAGCCAATCACGACAAAACATCATCTAGTGTCCTGGGAGAGAGGAAAGCCACAAGGAAGACACATACTTCTGCAAAATCTAAGCCAAAGAAGTGGTCAATTATATTGAAAGGCAAGTGTTTTGCATGTTGTAAAACTATGGGAAGTAATCGATACAATATACAGCAGAAACATGATAGTTCTGCTGGACACATCATTTCCCCAGTGCTTCAAGATAAATCAGTTAGCTATCCTCAGGAAAGGAGGAATACTTGAAAACAAAGAAAATCTTCAGAACTTTAACAATCTATCTGATTTATCATTTCATCAGTGACACCCTCTAAAATTTTGCACTAGAATAGAGTAAGATTGTGAAAAAAAAAATGTTTCTGCATTAGGACATAGAGGAAATATAAAAAGGCTCCTTTTGCAATATGGGATTATTTTTCTGATCATCATAGAGATTATAGAGACTCTGAAGCACCTTGATTCCTGTGGGAAAAAAAATGGCAGACTTGAATTTCAGTTCTGGCTGAGCCATTTCTTAGACTAAGAGAGTGGGGCCGTAGAAGATGAGGAAGGGACGGCTTAGTGTTATCAAGAAAATATTGTCTTTATTCAGGTCCCACTGGAAAATGTGCCTTCGAGCATCTCTGCAAAGGCATCCCACTTTTAGCCTTGAACCTATGATAATATTTACGTGAGCTTAAAGAACATTTTTCTGTGTGAGCTTTTGCCATGTGCGAATCTCCTTATAGGAACAAGCCTTAATCGGTAGTTCTATCTTTTTTTTTTCTCTCTAGCTTTTAATTAAGCCTTTTCATACAATTCTTTGATCTGAGACTCTGGTATTTTATCTGAGAATTAGATGTTGCGGTTAGATACAATGCAAATGAAGATCAGAACACCCTGCATTTGGATAGCCTAGGAAAGAACTTTTCCCTAAATTTCATAGATTACTCATTAGCAATTATCGTATATATCATTCAAAGCCAGTTCATACATCTCTTTTTTTCAGATTTCTGTACATCTCTGAAAACAGTATTGAGTAATCCAATGTACCTTACGCTGTTGTGCAGCTCGCTGTTACAGTTCAGCAGCTTTATCGGTTTCCTGACTTACAAACCTAAGTACATAGAACAGCAATATGGACAGTCTACATCTAAATCTAACTTTATCATAGGTGAGTGACTCTGTGAGATGACTATGCGTATGCATGGGGAGAAGTTCTGGCAGGTATCTTCCGGGGCTGAACTCCTTGTAGGATAGACTGATGTCTCTTCTGATGCTGAATTATATAAGGCTGCAAACAAACTATTGCTTTGGTGTCTGTAGGACCAGAATAAAATAAAAAAAATAAATAAACAAAACACTCAACATGTGGAATGATGTATGATGTGGTGTAGGTGTATGATGTGATATCTGACTGCTAAGTGCTTGGGGTAGAAGTGAGACCCAAAGCCCATGTTAGCAAGCTGGGTGTGCAGTGGTTTTATGAATTAGACACTTTGAAATATCATGCCAAACTTAGGGAACATCTTGAGCAGGCAGCCAGCTAGAGTCATCAGATACCACTTAGGACATTTCTTTCCATTTTTTTGGACATTTTCTCAAGAACAGAAGTTGGCTCTTAACTAGAATGAGAGTCTCTTATTTTAACATTCCTCTTCTATCATCTCTTCCAGGTTTGACATCCTTACCTCCTGTAGGTATTGGGATTTTCCTAGGAGGGTTCATAATGAAAAAGTACAAAATGAGTATGACTGGAGCAGCCAAGTTTGCATATAGTATGTCATTTTTGGCCTTCCTCCTCACTCTGTTGCACTTCTTTGTGGGCTGTGAGAATCATGTGGTGGCAGGACTGACAGTGTCCTATGACGGGTGAGTGAAAAATAGACAGGACATTTTGCTTCATGGGAGCAGGGAAACAGTCCAAATTATATACTCCGGCATTAGAGTTTAAATAGGAAAACACATTTGCATTGCTTAGAGGAAGTGAACCCTGCTAAGTGTTTGTGTCGTAGTTTTGTTGAACAGGGGAGTGCCAGCCTGCCAGAGTACAGCACTAGCAAAAGTTTAACTACAAATATATTAGCAAAATTACATTGTTAACAGCATAGGTGATCTGGCTACTGCAGGGATTATTTGGGTATTTCACATACTGACGCCTTTATGCCAGAAGTGATTTTCTACCAAAGTGTGTCCAAACTTGATAAAAAGATGAAAAATACATAACAGAATAGCATAATAGAATATAATAGAATCTCAAGCAAAGAGATCAGTACTGTAGAAATTCAGCTATTAAAACCTATGTCCTCAGTATATGACCTAAATTTAAGAGTAGTGACTCTATCAGATAGAAGAGAAAGTTGAAGGGATTAAATTGACTTCAGTACTGCTAAGTGGTTGTTCTCACACCAGTCTAAAATTAACTTCTAAGGAAACCCACTCAGAAACATGAAAATGCCTTATTTTCTGAATGCAACTCTGGCTGCAAATGTGCCACCAATGTGTGGGATCCTGTATGTGGAGACAACGGAGTCACATATGTTTCAGCATGCCTTGCTGGGTGCACAGCTTCGGTGGGACATGGAAAGAATATGGTAGGAGCTTGCTCCAACTCTTCAGTTCCTGGGCTTTTTTTTTTTTTTTTTTTTTTTTTCCAGCTAGCTTATTTTCTATATACCAGCAGAGTTTTAGTAGGGTCATACATTTAGAGGAAACCAAAGATACAAGAGAAAAAATAAATAAAAGGTTTATCATCTCTGGATGCAAACATCATGGAGAAATGTTTTTATACATTAGGCTAAAACCCAAGCTCTTTGTTGTAGATACTAACATTCATCTTTTGTAGACTGAACATAGGAAAAATAATTCATAGTGCTTAATTACTTTTTATGTCCATTGCTCACCATTTGGCTTCCATAAACCTAATCTTGACTGGTCTGAGGTTTCAGCCAAGAGTGGTAGTACACTAACACAGCTGCCCTCTTCCCAGTTTGTTTTCATGTGAGACTATAGCGTGGCAGGATACAGCTTATTTTTCCAGATGGCTGAGCTCTGCTTGGCACAGATCAAGACAGTTCTAGTGAATGGATATGACTTCATTGCACTATATTTCTCCTGTCTTATGATGCCAGACGATCATCCTAGAAAATACACAGTCTAGGGAATTCTTTTTCACTCATATAGATTTTTTTTTATACAGCAGACTTTTCTTTCTGGATAGTTTCTTATTGGTACCTACAGGGATCTTTTTTTCAAAGAGATTCTTTGCGTATACTCTTACATATTGAAGGAGAGGGGAAAGTAGGGCTCAGCAGGCTCTGTGAGGCTGGGACTATTACAACTCTCAGAAGTAAATAGGTGTCTATAGAACCTGAGGTTCCTCTAATGCAAACATGGTAGGAGCAGGATGCTTAGCTGCCTGTACCTGGCAATAGGACATGCCACTACCTGAGCAATGTCCCACCAAAACCCTTTTGTGTCTTTCAGCTCTACCATAACTGCAGCTGCATCCAAGCCAGCGGGTCACAGTGGGGAAATAACTCTGCGACTTTGGGGCAATGCCCAAAAAGTGATGCTTGTTCAAGAAACTTTATTTATTATACGGCAATACAAGTCCTAAGTGGCTTTTGTTATGCATTGGGAGGCACCCCAGCTTACATGATCATGTTTAGGTAAGCAAAATTAAGTGAGTATGCACCAATGGTATAGTATTTCCAATGGGAGAATCATGTTGGTGTTCAGGGTTCTTGCTTTCCCTTGGCAACAAAAATTCTCTTGCAGTATAACATATTCTCTACCAAGTTTCCTCACTTCACTTCTATTTGTGGTTGCTGGCAATAAACTTACTTTCCTGCTGATATGAAGTCTATTTTAGTGTGTTGCTTCTAAATCCTCCATAATGGTGTCTCTTATAGTTATCATACCCAAAGATTTTCCAGAATATGCCTTCTTTCTCTATTTGGATATTTTGGCCACATGGGTTTTGCAGACACTGTTCATTTGTCAAGATTCATGGATGTGGAGTAGACCTAACAGATCATGCTCTTTGGCTGTCTGTAAATTCAGGTCGTATGAGGCACCGAGGCACAAAGCTCTTGTGGTATATTGGTGCAGGAATAACAGGATACAATTAGGAACATGTATAGAAATTACGATACACTTTTCAGTAACCTGAAGTATAAGTTGAATTGGTAGAAGAACATATTAGTGGAAAATTAAATGGAGTCTCAGGGGCATCATGTCATCCTAAATGAGAATGGAATTCAGAATGCAAACTTCCCACTTCCTACCCATTGTGAGACATCTTTTTGAATGATGTCCATGTTAATATTTGCAAGATAGCACACTGGATGTATAATGGATTCAAGATCAGTGCCCAGTTCACATGTTTGTAATGTGGTTCCCCACAAAGCTGAATGACATACTGCCAGACAGTTTGGTGTAGTTCAAGACGTGGCAGTTGAACAGACTGCTTTGACAAATGTCATTTGAGAATAAAACAATGTAGCAATGCAGCTATATGCAACACTCCCTTCTCAGAGCACTGATGAATTTTCCATCACATGAGTAAAATCTTTCTTAACAAGTGAGAAAATTTATGCCAGTGACTTAAGTTAGCTGGGCACTATATTTCACTATCCCTAGGATAGGGAATGTGATTATGTCATTAGCATTTCATCTCTTTAGTGAATGACTAGTGGATGGACTTCCAAAGTGTCCAAAATAGATTAATTCACCTTTTTTTTTTTTTTTTTAATTACTACTTAGCCACAGACATCAGAGGCACTCTCTTCCTGAAGCTTGACATTCAGTGATTCTATGATGAGTGTTAAGTCCAGGGGAAATAGCATCAGTTTAGCAAGTATGTCTAAGCTCTAGGTAGGTAAATGCTTCTTCTTTTTCCCTCTTTCTTTCAGGTGTGTCCAGCCAGAGCTGAAATCTCTTGCAGTTGGTCTGTACACACTTGTTATGAGAACACTAGGTAAGAGAAATTAATCTGAGTAATTAAGATGTTTGCTTCTGTAGCTTTAAATGACATCATAGCAACCCCTTTTCATGAACGAAATATACACTTGGAATTGTTTTTAAATCCTGGGTTGTTCTTGAAGGTCCAACATACCATCAAGAGTCCACTGCAAAAATATCCAACATAATTTTGATATGTCTTGGCCTGCTTATTAAGCATTGTTGCACTTGGGACAAGGTGTTCCGAAATGGAAAGTTTCTGAGCAAAACTAAAATATTAACTTCATTAACATTCAAGTGATAGCTTTCTTTACTGAAGCATAGTGCTGCAAGTAAGATAAAAGGGAGAAAGCTCTATCAGGACTTTATTCAAGACAAATAAGAGAGTTCATAGCAGAAAGTACTGTCCCTACTGAAACTGTTTTTGTGGTATACAAGTGCTTAGATACTCTTCTTTTTAACATGCTGCAACGTCCTTTTTGTGTAAGGATTGCTAATTAGATGCATTGTTAATGAGATGGTTAATTAAAATGCCTAGACAGACAGGAAAACATCTATGTCTTTCTTTCCTTTTATGTCTTCTTTGTGAACGGAATAGAAATGCAAGTGTGAAAAGTCAAACCAGATGGATTTGCTATGAAGCCTAAGATATCACCAGCAGCCTACAAATGTCAGCAGTCAGAGACTGATTAGAACCATAGTCAGTTCTTGGGATATAAATGAGACATTTTGAGACAGGAAGATGTAGCCACATTTTGTCCTCTTGCACTTTTCTCATCACACAGTAACAGGGCAGATTTTCTGACCCAGCACTCAGCACTTACTGGTCCTGACAAAGGTTAAAAAATGTATTATTTAAGTAGAGCTGGCCCCTTTTACAGATATGTGCTTGAGTGCATCAAGCCAGCAAGCACTTTCCCTGGTGGGAGCCACTGCTGTCAATCCATGAAAGCTGGCATTCCTGCCCAGGGCCTTGGAGTGCAAGTCTTTTACACCCCCCTTTCTCTCCTTAGGGACATTCAAAATCACCACTCCTCCCATCATGCTCTGTCTGCAGCCCTGACCATCCTAATACACGGACCTCTATGCATAGATTATTAGGTATACATGAGATATATAGAGAGGAAAGGAACAGAGGATGGAACTTGACACTAACAGAACATAAGGACGTTTCCTCAAAAAAAAAAGGAAAAAAAAAAAAAAAGAGTCTTGTCTTGCTTACCTTGTAATGTCTTGAGATATTTCTGTTCACTTTGTTTCAGCTGGAATTCCGGCTCCAGTTTATTTTGGTGCATTGATTGATAGGACATGCTTGAAGTGGGGAAGTAGAAGCTGTGGGCTTCGAGGTGCTTGCAGAATATATGACTCTAATGCTTACAGGTAAGGTAAATTAGAACACAAAGAGCCTCATGCATTTCCTCACTACAGATAGATACTCCATATTTTATTATACTATATTGCATGAGATCACTGATGAAACATTGGCCAAACACTAACTCTGGATTCTAAAAGAGAGAAATTTTAGGAGTAAAATAATGGCCCTTATCAATGACAAGAACTTTATGGAATGTGTGTGTAGATAAATATATATATTCTTTGAGTCAATTTAAGACACTGAGGGTTATATGATTCACCAGCAAGAAAGGAAAGCTATCCAAATTTACGTCATTTGCAGGGAGGTTGCTCACACTGGCAAGATGGTAACTTTGTGCATTGGCCACACTTGAGAGAAAAGCAGTGAAAGAAAATCACACTGGGCAGCTGAAAGCATTGGTCAAATACAGATAAAAACTATCTCAAGGAGGAATATTCTGGAAGTTTTTTTCATTTTCACTCACCCCTTGACTGCTTATAATGCATTTTTTAAATTTTATATAAAATAGTCTAACATAGGGATCTGTCATGTTATGTGTCATATTTCTAGGCCTAAAAAAATTCTTAGTGAAAAATCTTTAATAAGAAAGAGGAAGATGATGAAAGTTTCGCTTTCTTACTATTTTTGTAATATTACAAATTCTTTAGCAAGTTCTTCTAATAGCAGTTTGTAGAACCAATTATAGAGAGTGAATTTTCATTTTTTTCCTCTCAGTATGATGTGTGTTTCAGTTTCATTGAAAAATTAAAGGCTTACATTGTATTTTATACCTTATCCCACAGATATGCCTTCCTTGGTCTATCAGCAGTGCTGAGAGCTCCTTCTTACTTGTTAGGATTAATTTTTATAGTACTGGTCAAGAAACACTATCCAGCTAAGAAATCCACATCTACAGAAAATGGAGGAAGAGAAGAAGTTCCTATGAATAAAGAAGATGGTTTCAAGAGCAGTGAACCTCTGACTGGTTCTCTCGAAGCAGAGAACAAATCCTGCATTTAGGAGGCCATTTAAATCAGTGTCACATGAGTCAGGGCACATGCTCTTGGGGACAGCTCTCACAACATCATGAATAAATCAACAGTGAGTAACACTTCTTTGGAGAGTGCAAGCAATAACCAACTTATAATCAACAAAAAGAAAAGCTTACACACAGGCATGTTCCACTTCCAAGTATGAATATGTGCACCAGATAATCAACAACAGCCAGGTTCTTGATTGATAAGGAAGGAAAATCCACCTGGCATCACTGATAGGGCCCATGTGCAATTTTCGAAGGTCTCAGAGATGCCTTCTGGGGCAACAACCACCTCTGATCCTGCACCCAGAGAGCGTACCCCTGCCAGGGATCATCAAACTGGCCTCCAATTGCAGTGTTACAATTTCATCTCATTGCAGAATTCAAAATAAAAGAAAAATCTTTAAGCAACACATTCCCAACTCAAGGAAAAGAGCCATATCTAACATTTTCCATTGCAATACTGGCAAAATCTGTCAAAAGCAGTGTTTTCCCAGAAAATATTTTACTTTATTTCAGCTGAAAACTTTATTCCTAGTTATAAGCATAAATAAGCTGCTAGAAATGAGATAATTGTTTAAAAAGTCTCAAAGTTGTAGTATTATATTAATAGTTAATTTTTTAGGTGTGACTATAAAACGTAAGAAATATTCTGAATTTTGTAGTGACAATATTTTCTAAGTGAAATCTCTGCAGTGTATGACACTCTGTCCAATCTGCCTTTCATTGCTATGCGAGGTAATAACCAGCAGAGGACACTCAAAGAATAGTATTACCCATCCTGTAACTAGACATGCTCAAAACACTTGTTATATACAAAGTCACTCTTTTGGGGGAGAAGATGATCAGTGGTTATGTACTGCATTGATCTGTGTTTTCTTGCACCTTAGAGCTTTTTCAGCGAAAGTCTTTAGCTTATATTTTCAGGGTTACTTTTGTATATGTGTCAGATTGAGTTCCTTATGTTTGTACCAATTAGATTTGGACAACTGTTACTACTTTCAATAAAAAGATATATACTTGATTACTCATTCACAACAATAATTGGATTCTCTGGTCAGTACTTCTAGTCAGATGCTCAAAGCACAATGGGCTATAGAAAACAAACAGATAACATACCAAAATACACTGAGCAAAATGCTAAGCCAAGCAGCTATGATATAAATGTGGGCCATCATGAAAGATGATGTAGTAGTGGCTATAGCCACTGAAGGGAGAAGAGCGGGACTTCTTTTCTAAATGAAACGATACTACATAGGAAGAAATGCCTTCAGTTTATCAAGTTTGCTATGTCTTTTTGATTATGTCTAAGGATTGCATTTGCAAGTATTTTGACATATCCAGATACAGCTCTAGGAATGACCTGAATGAATGAAATATCTTGTCTACTTATTGAACTTGGGATGAGTTTTGACAGGGAAAGAAAATGAAACTGTTTAGTTCTGCACAAGTGCTCTCCACTTTCTGCACATGCCACTTTATTCGTATGTCTATGTGCATACATGATTTTCTATGACAACACCAAAGCCAGAGTTTGAGTGAGGCCCCAAATCCGCAACCTCTGAAAACACATATTTTCTTCATCAAAATATAGTAGTTTTAAATGGGAATCAGAGCAGATCCTGGATGAGAAATTACATCTGAGGAATCAGTTCTACCAAAAGAAAGGATTATGGCCGTTAGCAGTTTTGGGAAGCTATTACTCCAGGCTTATGTGGTCAAGAAGATAAAAGTAAACGAGTCTTCTCAGACATAGAGAGGAAGGTTGATACAAGAAGATCATAACCTGCTTATGAAGGGCTTTTTCCCCCTTTCTTATGGAAAAATTGTTCCAGCCGGAGTCAAAGCCCAGCTACCTTTGAGTGCTGCAGCAGCTTGGCAGCTGCAAGAGAGAGCAACATTTTGAAATGGTACTAGCTTTGAAAAACAAGGTGCTCTTCTGTCTGTCATTAAAGAAGTGCAACTGCATGGTACAAATCTATGGTGGAGGCAAAGCAAACAGAAAACTCTGATTGTATTTCATCTCACGCTACAGCTCTGTAATTAATTTTTGTGTTATTTTCACGTCCTGAGCGAACTCGGTACCTGAGAACTACACACATGTAAAACTTTGGATTTGCAGGACAGAGAAAGTTTTGGGGTGTCTTTACAGTTCTGAAAGAAAAGCCCAGAGGCTTTTCTCACTGTTCTTCCAGAGGGAAGAAGAATTACTCTGAGGGAATATGTGGATGAGTGCCTTTCAGCAGCCATCTATCACTGCAGCCACCACGTTTACACATTGAGTATGTAAAATTAAGTACCCACCTCTACTCTTTTATTCATCATAGTAAATGCATCCATAGCTCCCTTTGCTTAACTCTTTGGAGAGGCTCATCAGTTGGATTCACATGCCTTCCTATGGCACTGAAATTTTTAGCAGTAAAGCCTCTTAATGCAAAGAGGCAGTTCACAACTACCAAAGCTGGAAGTTGTTGCAGTAATTGTTCAATTGTTTCATTTGTTTGTTTGTTTCGGGCAGGGGGAAGTTGGGTTGGGCAGAAAAGAAGCTCGATTGTATCTCTCTCACTTAATAAAATACGCATAGTGTCCAAAACCAATATAGAAATATTGTGAGAGTGGTGCATGCCTTGATTAAGTTGCTTTTGAAAGTGTATCTACATTTCAACCCACAGCTGAAACTCATACAACAAGTGATTTTTCCATTTTAATGCCTGAATGTGACACAAGTTTATTGCCTGAACCAAAACAAAATCTGAGAAAAGCAAACAGAAAAGCAAACTCAGCTCTCCTAGCTGCTTTCTGCCCATGCACACCTCATGGAGGTTACCCAACTCTTACCCTGAATAAGGATCCACAAGCAACAAGATGTACAGCAGAGATACATGAGTCAACACAAAGAGAGTGACTCGATCTGCCAATTTTATCTGGTAACAGTTTATCAACCAGTGCAAATCAGTGCATTGCAAATGACTTCGCTGATCTGTCCAAGCTGACAAATGGGCTCATTAGCGCTCAGCTGAAGCAGTGTTAGCAATCAATTGAAACAGTGTTAAAGATTAGCCCCTTCCCTTTTTAAAAAAAAGAAATCATAATACATGTTTTTTAGCAAAGTGACCATCTGTCATGCATTTTGTCCATAGCAGCATATCATTAGAAGGTGACTTTAATTTGAAGCGTAGGAATTTTCTTCACTAATAAAATTCTTGGACTTTCAATGAATCCATGAATTTCATGTGCCAGTGTGAAGCATTACAGCTAAATGTGAAAAGCCCAAAGACAGGTGATAGGAATAATCATGAGTATAGCAAGCCCCTTGTTGGATTAGGTTCATGGTCCTGACAAAAAAATGTGCCTGTAATGTGCCCACTTTAAGGGCAAATGTCTCAAAATTAGCAGGCTTTCTCTGGAATTTTCTCAAAGTGAGTGGTAGGGCTGGATGATCTCTAGAGGTCCCTTCCAATCTCAACCATTTCGTGATTCTGTGATTAATTCAGTTTTCAACCTTGAGTTGCTATCTTAGTAATTATCCACTTTTTTCAAAAATACTTGCGATTGGTCAGTAGTAGCTCTACTTCTTTTCTTAAGTGTGCCTTCCTTTTCATGGTTTCTGGAATTCCTTTCTTCCATATGCAAAGTATTCACAGGTATTTACTTGCAAAAGCTCCTTAATTTCCAACTATTCATTTTACTTTCCCCCCTCCCTTTTTTTCTTCTTCAAAACAGGTTTTGAAAGATAGTTCAATAGCTGACTCATTTCTGAATCATAATTAGTATCAACCCACTGGTTGTATTTTAATCCTCATTTTAATGCATGGGATTTTCAGCTGTTTGTTGTTTTCATTGACTTGATGAGGGCATTGAGTTGGTTAGTTGGTTTAGATAGAAACTGTGGAATGCAAGAAATGCTTTTGCAATCCCGGTCCCACAATGCCATTTTTCCGGCTCTGTGTGACAATTCCCCCATTTCTGTAAGAAATTCAGCATCTGGTCCACAATACAGATGATCTGGTGATGGCACCATCATATTTCATTGTGTTCTTAATATTCTCTAGACATTTAGAGACCTGGCGAGATGTTACTACAGATTTATGTTAATAATACTGCTCAATGGGGGATGCACTTTGCAAGCTTGCAGTCAATCTGGACTTGAAATAAAATGCCAGAAATGGTTATATAAAGGACAATAATATTTCATCAGAAACAACAGCAGTGAAGACATAGAGCGAGTAGGTTCTAGCTACTGTTAAAAGGCTTCACTTTGCCTTCATCAAAGTTAGATTAAAAAATAAAATTTCCTTAGCAGTGAGTCCTACACAGACATTGCTTATGGATGGGTAGATGGGCAGGGATTCAATACTAGATAGTGAATTTAACAAGCCAGTATACTACCTAAATTATATGTTATACTAAAACATTTGCCTTTGGTCCATCAATTACCCTTCTACAGTGCAGAGAGTAGATATTAGCTTTTGCAAGATAGCAGACATGAACTGTCCTTTTTTAAGCTGAATTAAGGGGGAAAAGATAAGATAGAAGGGAATACAAGGGAAAATATCTATGACAATAGCTGGACTAAATTTTATAGGCCATCTTCTGACATTGTCAAAGAAAATCTGCAAACAGTCCAGCTCAGTTAATTCAAAAAGGCAAGCTCTGAGTAGGCATTGCATGTAAGGGCATTGATCATTTGTGTTAGAGCAGAAGCAAATTACTGAGCTGTGCAACTTCTACTTCAAGATGTAGGAAATCATGTGCCACAGGAGTTGCTTTTTCACTTGCAATTACCTTTCTTACAAAGTCATTGTAAAATATCTTTTACATTGAGAGATCAATGATCAGCATTAGCTAATTTTGCTCCTTTTCTGCTCTTCAATTTTTCTTTTAGATGGTGACTTCCCAACTCACAGCAGAAACCGATAGATTTCCATAATTCCTGAGCAGTGTCCATTAACCAGTGTAGCTCTAAAGTCAATCTCTTTAAAGCTGTAGGGTCAATATGGAATGGAGAAACACTGAACTGAAAATAATTGTTATATTACAGATAAACATTAGAATGATCTGGCATGAGAAGGAATGTCCTTTACCTTCCAAAACTCCAATAGAAAAAAAAACTATTATGCTTGCACACCAAAACCAAGGTAGCTATTTTTTGGTACATTAAAACTGAGCAGGCTCTCTTGAGACATAGCACATATTCATTCAGTTTCCTGTTCTGTCATAGATTTCCTGGGTAAAGAAATGCAAACTTGGAAACTATCAATAAAATAGCATTTTCCAAAACACTGAATTACTTGTAAGTCAAAATGTTATCTTTCAGATTGCTTTAGAATAGCACTCTCTAAAAAGCCTAATTGAATTTCAAAAATGAAAAAGAAGAAGACTTCTACCACATAAGTGATTTGAGGAATTCTCTCTCAATAACTCTTCTACATCATGATATAAATACAATAAATAAAGTGCTTCAGGAGAAAATTCCTATTCTGAGAATATACAAATACTAATAAGTTATGTTTCTCATTAATTGTTATTTAGTTGCTCTGTCATTCAAAGACTGGAAAAGCCATTCTGGTTTATAAGTCATTTAATGTTTTGATATTTTTTCCTTTTCCTTGTCCTCAGGCGTGCAGTTTTGTTCCAAGAATAATTTTGCCTGTGGATATCATCACTGCCACTGGAGGTTCAGCTTTTAATCCATTTAGCCCTGAAAGGCAGTAACTATGGACACATCTTAGACTTTAGGCTTTCATCACAGGTTGCCAGTCCAAACACATTCCCAGCAACTGTAATAGGTACAACCCACAGGGAAACTTGTGAAAAAA